GCGGATGACCAATAACCAATTCTTCGCCACCTGCCAGGAAAGTGACTTGAAATGACCGGCGACTCGATCTTTGCTGCCAGCTCGGCGACCAAAGGACCAACTCCTTTCCGTCGCTTTAGTATGAGTGCCTTCTTTATCGTCAAGGTTCATTGCCGACATGAGCGTGATCAATGCCCTTTTAGCAAGCTTTACTTGGCCGTCCCCGATGGGTTTTTTCCAAAGCCGAACAGCGATCTCGGCAAGTTTTTGGCAATGCCGAACGGACTCAACCCCATTGGTGACGGCATTACAGATGTCCAGGGTCTTAACGGCGCGTTCGAGTAATTCGGGGATCAAGCGATCGAAGGGAGGCTTGGAGAGCTGGGAAGGGTCACGATCCACTAGGACAATGGCCTCGAATTCGGCTTCGCAGCAAAGGAAAACATCGAGAAGTTTGCGTAGTCAGGAAATGGAGAGAACGGCATCGCCATGGGGTGGTGTTAGGAGCTCGGAGAAACGATCGGAAACATGCCTTTGGAAAAGCTCAATGTCTTCAAGTTCCTGCTCGTGAACACCATCCATGACCTTCATTTGGTTCCTCTTGATACTGAATGTGCCCAAGAAAAACCCTGGGTACTCGTTTGGATTCATTTCCGTTGGCAAAAAAAAGTTTAGAAAGTGAAAAGAGGGCAGTCTATGAGAGGACAAAAGGGAGATATAAACGGAATCGACATGAATGGTTGATGGAGGGGAAGAGGCTGGTTCTTAGGACCGCTGACTCGATTTTGCCTAATAAATGGTGAGAGACAGTCCAGCCCACAAAACCTACTCTGTATTAGGGGGAAAACACACCAAGAGATGAGTACTCTATTTCTTAATTTCTATTCTTATTAGGCTTAATCGGAAAAAAATAAGAGGGTAGATTATATTTCTATTTTTAAATTATTTTTAAAATCTAAATGAATTATTGACTTACAAAAACAACATACATATATTTTAAATGTTTTACTTTTACTCTGCTTTAAATTATTATAAGTTCATAACAAATTAAGTTTAACGCTCGCTTTGTAATTGAGATTATTATTAATAATTTAAATTAAAGAAATGTAATTTTAGTAAAAGTATAATTACTTTTGAATAAAATTTGCTAATTTGATTAAAAGAAAAACACCTAAAATTACAATGAATATTTATAATTATAATTGTAAACTAAACATATATAATTATAATATTTTCAATAATCATTAAACAAGAACACTGAGGCTGATGAAGAAGAAGCATCGACCGTCGACCACCAACACTGAAGCTGATGTTACTGTCGACCAAACAAAAGTAACAAAAGTAAAAGTTAACTTTTTTATCTGTTATAAAATTATTTATTTGCAAGTTATTTTAAATATAATTCTACTCATTTTAGATTTATTTTCATTTCTTTACTCCCTCCGTCCCACAAAAAATATCAATTATTAACTTTTAAAAAATCAAAAATTTTAAACTTTTGACCATGATTATTTTAAACAATTAAATTTTATAAAATATATATTAAAACTATTTGATTTAAAGTTTTTAAAATATATATTTTACATATTTTTATCAATATTAAATTTTAAATAATAATTAGTCAACCTAAAAAAATTGACTAAAAAAATCAACCATGGACAGAAAGCAAAAGAAATAACAAAGTTATCCAAAATTAAAACACGAAAAATAATATATACTAAAAATGACAAAACTTTCGAGATAATGTTCTAGAAGAAATTAATTCACGAGATAATGCACTCTCCAGATTAATTGCTCAAATAGGGTGAAATTCACAGTGTTGGCCGTAGGTCGCCATGCCCTCCGGGCGACCTACTACGTGGCCAGCTTCCCGGCGAACTCACAGAGAGAATGAACGTGTTGCATGACACATGCACGTCCCAACACATAGGTCGACATGCCCTCCGGGTGACCTTGTAGGTCGCCATGCACTCCGGGCGACCTACCCTTGCTCGCTCGCTCGGAGTCCCTCGCATAGCTCGCTCGGCTGCCCTCGGATTCCCTCGCACGGATGGCCTCGAATGCCCTCGCATAGCTCGGTCGGATGGCCTCGGATGCCCAGCGTGTTGGGACGTGCATGGAACATGCAATTTCTCGTAGCTCGCCGTGCTCGCCGGGAATACATGGCGACCTAGTAGGTCGTCCGGAAGGCATGGCGACCTACGGCCAACACTGTTATTTGAACCGAGTGATTTTGGTGAAAAATGAATTAATGTTATTTTTAAAGTCTCAAATTTGAATACTAAAAATATTAAGGGTGTAAATGTTTAATATAAATAATTTAAAATTATTTTTAATAAAATGTGATCTTATTCTTATTACAAATTAATTTTTAAAGAAATATTACTCTCACCACGTGATAAATTTTTTCAGCTTAATTTTCCTTTTAAAAAATACTATGCGATCATTTGAATTTTGGGTTGAAAGGTAATTTTATGTACTTAACCCTAACCGCCCGTCGTATATTTTCGCTCCATAAAAAACCCTAGTTAGATAACAAAGCGGCGAAGAAACAAGTATTCGTTTCAACTTACCGGTCTCTCTATTGTAATCTCTCAAAAATCATGGCTACCCAGATTAGCAAGAAGCGCAATGTTCGTCCACTCTAGTTTTCTCTCTTTTATTTCCCATAATTTATTTAGATTTGAAGTTTTTCGTTGTATAGTAGCAAATGTTATATTAAAATGGCTTGTTTCCCCCCCCCTAAATACACAATAAAGTATTTGTAATTACTCAAATTGTTGTTAGTTTTTCTTTTATTTGGAAGTGTTGTATTGGTTTGAAACTGAGATCTATTTTATATCTGTTTAATATAATAAGGTAACCTAATCGATATGATCTTTTGAACAAAAAATTGCGCGAAGGTGGGGAATTTAATTCAGTTGAGGTGAGTACTTATATTACATGAAGTTTTTATTTACGATTTGATTGGATGAACAGTTCGTAGCGGATGGAGTGTTTTTATGCAGAACTAAATGAGGTGTTAACAAGGGAGCTTGCTGAGGATGGATACTCTGGAGTTGAAGTTAGAGTTACTCCTACGCGTACTGAGATCATCATTAGAGCTACTCGTACCCAAAATGTTCTTGGCGATTTTCCAAAGTTTTTCAATGTGTTGGCAGTTCTTTCCCCCCCCCCTACTGTGATAGGTAATGTTAATCACAGTCGTGTAATTCATTTGATAATTCAATGTCAGGTGAGAAGGGCAGGAGGATTGGAGAGCTGACTTCTGTTGTTCAGAAAAGATTCAAGTTTCCAGAGAACAGTGTAGAACTCTATGCTGAGAAGTGAGAAAGTTAACCACAGGGGTCTTTGTGCCATTGCACAGGCCGAGTCCCTGCTTTACAAGCTCCTTGGAGGCCTTGCTGCTCAGAGGTAAATGAATTAAATGTTATGCTGCATTGGGGTATTACATATTTGACTGTATTATGCAATATATAACATAAAGTACTTGCTTTTCTTGAGTTTGTGCTTTTGCTGCTTGGATTTGAAAATACATTTTTCCAATTTACTTTGGTGTGTAAGTTTTCTTGGTCTAAGTCATCTTTACAGCGAGTTGGTTGCCATGAGTAGTGCCTCTCTCGTGTCTGAGGATGACAATATTTTTATGCCATCTAGCTTTCTTAGGTCGAGGAGTATACACATATACGTCTTGCAGTGACAATCTGGATGGTAGATTTCATCGAATATATTTCTTATTAAATGTGTGCGTGTAGCAACTCTCTTTTTGCACAGGCATTGATGTATTACTGTTTTGCCCCCATTTGTTGCATGAAAGCCTTCGGGGGTGTAATCAAATGCCCAAATAAAAGATTTTGATGGAGTTTGTCAGGTTTCTTGTGCTCAATTTAAGGTGCTTGGAGTTTGGAATATTCTCCCACATGCACTAAAGTTCCAGTTGGTTGAATAATGTATGATGACTCTTTTGTAGCTACTTTTTCTTTTCTTTTTCCCCACCTTGATGTAGAGAAGGTAATTTTAGGTTTTTTTGCTGACCAAACTCATGAGAATGTTGTTGTACTTGGTATTTTAAGTCATTGTTTCCTTGATCAAATGTCAGCATTCATTTCTACCCCTTAAAACAGATGGATAAGTAGGGTTTTTGGTTCTTCCTCGATGTGGGGCTAACTTCATACTTTTTCATGTTCTAGGGCTTTGTTCTCAGATTTGTAATGGAGAGTGGGACCAAAGGATGTGAGGTTAATCCACTAATCCTCCTCATTGCTGATTGCTTCGACCCGTAAATATACACGTCTTTATGTTTTTGAATGTGCACTTAGGTTATAGTGAGTGGAAAGCTCCATGCTCAGCGAGCAAAGTCCATGAAGTTCAATGATGGCTACATGATATCCGCTGGTCATCCTGTCAAGGAATATATTGATTCTGCTGTTAGACATGTCCTCCTTAGGCAGGTCAGTTGAAGTTGCTTTTACTGATATTACAATAATAGTAATACTACCCCAGCTATGAGTTTTGGTTTTAAGATCTTTGACTTTGGATTTATCCATTTTTGGTCGTGTATATTTTTCTACACCTTTCATTCTGTACCACGATAATTTTGTTGCATATTTGAGACTCCTAGTTCTGTTTGAAATGCTCACAGGGCGTGCTGGGTATCAAAGTTAAAATAATGCTGGATTGGGATCCCAAAGGCAAGCAGGGCCCCGTGACCCCATTGCCTGATCTTGTTACCATCCACCCACCCAAGGAAGAGGAAGAGTTTAGAGAAACAGTAACGGTTGTTCCCCCGACCAATATCGTGGTTCCCATGGCAGTTTAGAGTTAGATTAGACCCTCCACAAGTTTAAATGTAGTATTTCACTCAAAAGTTTCCATCTCTTTAATCAAAGGACAATAACTAGAGTTTTGCCTGTATGAACTCTGTTTTGCCAAATGAGTTTAATTTTGCATGCCTCTACATTGTGTATGAAGCTCAACTGTGTTTACGGCCTGACGATCTAGTGGATTAAATCGTAAATAGATGGTCTCAATCATCCAAGATGTTAAAATGCATTATCATCCGTCATCAAAATTCAAATCATCAAAATTCAAATTGATGATGACTTGAGGTTATGCGTGACATTTGATGATAGAGCACCAGCGTGTAAAATCATGCCGATCAGCATTCGTCCTACATTAGACTTGATAAGTTAAATTAAACAGAAACCAAAACAGAACACTACATTACAGAGCTTGTGTCTTGTCCCAAGCTCTGGTTACAGTGTACGCCCATTTCATCACTAGTTGGTACAAAGATCGAATGCTTACCTATGATATAAAACACTCGAGCAGATGAGCAATAATGATCAAGAGGTCGCATATGTTGCATTGGGCCTGTCTTGATTGACTTGGTTGAAATTCACATGTTGCGGGAGGAGATTGTATCGTATACCAAGCTCCTCAAAGATCCTCTTCAACTCGAGCACCAGTTCAGTTCGTCGCCTGTTCTTCTCTCTAAAGTCCTGGAAATTCATCGTGTGATTGCAAAAGAGCGCCATCTTTAACTTGTTGACATTCTCAATCTCCTTCACCACCACAAGGTGGTTAGGATGCCACAGGGTATTGGATTCCAGATGCCTGATTAGACATGACAGCAGAAACAAAATGAATTTACACACCAAAATGAACTTGGAGTGCCGAAGAATATGGATTAAAGGTCGTATAAAGCTACAGTCAACTTACTTATTTATCTCTTCTTTCAGCTTGCCTATTGTCTTTGCTGGGGTCATAAAATCGATCGAGAACTCTATCGTATCACCCATATCTGGGCTTCTGTAATAGTTGCTGATGGGTTTTGAAGCCAAAACTGAATTCGGGTAGTACACCTTTTCATTATCTAGCTTCAGGAAGACGGTCGTTAATATATTCATCTCCTCAACCAGCAACTGTGAGTTAACCGAGCGATGAGCATAATTAGTAAAGTTTTCCAAGACAGTATGGAGTATATCTTTTTTTCAGTAGTTACCTGAACACCATCAACCACACAACGGTCGCCAACATCGAATGGGTGCATCACAAACACGAATATGATAGCTTCAAATATGGTCTTGCAGGTATTTCCAAACATAAAAGCTGCCACAACAAGCTGTGATGAAAGCAGCAAAAGCAGTTTTGTGGTTGCAATTTCTACCAAAAGAAGCCATATGATAAAAGTAACAACCATCAGGATCACCGTCACGAGTGTATTCAACTGCTTCACAGCTGTTTTGGTGTCACTCAAAGCATGTACTAGTGTTTTCCGATCCTGGTAAACCTTTATCTGCATGAAATAACAAATGCAGGCATGTAAATCAAGAAGCCTTTTCTTCATGGATGGCTTTCCTTAATCAGAACAAAGCCTTATCTTCATGGATAGTATGCGCTTCATTAGAAAGAAGCACAAAAAGCATTAGAGAAGTTAGATTATCATTGCTCCATCTTGTTGAGTACTGAAAATTTAGTTTTGAGTCATCACAGTCAAAACATTAAAATCTCTTCCTGGATCTAACTAGTAAAATTTGCCACTACTTGATATTTGCAAGGTAAAACACACACACACACACAAAGTATATAAAAAAAAGTTTAAATGTTACTCGGGATATTGGATTCATATAGAGTTCTTACCACCCAGTGTGTGAAACTTTTTCTGTCAATTTTACTGGTGTTTGAACCTTCAAACAAAGGAAACACAAGATCCACCTCCTCCTGAATCATGAATCTTAAGAGGTCATCCTCATCAATGTAACTGATCATAAAGAGCATATATTTAGAGCACGAAATTTAAAAATAAAAATAATCGGCAGGAAAATCACTATAAACATCATGGAAGGCTGATTTTCTCACGTGCGATTGTGATTACTGTCATGTTTGGCTACATGTGCAAAAATTTGATGAGCAACATATTGTGCCTCCTCCTCATTGGTAATTTCATTATCCTCTTGTTCGCCACCTTCATCGCAAGTAATTTCCTTTAATGTATTGGAGACCGTGGAAAACCCTGAATTCGTGATAGCGTCCACCAACACCTTCATATGCCAAGCTGAAACTTTTTCTCGCTTCAACCTATGGACCTTTCCCATGTCAACCAACCTTTTCGTTTTAGGTTCTTTACCCTTTTTTGAATTGCTAACAATCAGCTGAGAAGGCGGTTTTTGAATCCCATCATTCTCCATAAATGGTGGTCCTGAAAGGGTCTTAAGCACATAGTGATGGAAGATCGATTCTTGTACTCTATCAAAGAATTTGTTCCTATGGAAATTCGAAGCCAATATCTTTAACAACAAAGTCTTCAACAACCACAGAAATGCCCCAATGACTATGCTTACAGTAGTCCAGGTTACATAAACCATAACTTTTGCGCCAGTCTTCGATCTCTCCACATCATGAAACAGAATAACCCAAGTAACAAGAACTGTGCTAAGCCAAATAAACACCTGAACACTCTTCTTCAAACCATGAACGAAATACAGAACTTTCTTCCGAAGCAGAAAGTTAATCTCAATCAAGAAAACAACCAGAAGCATAAACCAAGAAGTAACTAAGAAGCCACAGATTATAACCACCACAAGTACACACCATTTCCAAATTTCCAAACCCCACAAAAGGATGTTCTTTTCTTTACCTAAAGTTAAGCTAGTTATCAAACACCCCAATAGCAACACACATACAAGCCACTCAATCACAACCTTGGGTTTCACTCCATTAAGATTCTCCTTTTTCAGTTTAACCTTCTTGATTATCTCCTCATTCTCATCTTCCCCGGTGGGGCCTCTAGAGGCCGTTGAATACGTCTTCGACACAGCAGAATCTGTCCTAATACTTCTAGACGACTTGTTATTAGGGGAGGCCTTAATGATAGAGGAGAGTCTATGAGGTGAATTACCACCAGCTTGTTCTTGCTTAGCTAAATTATTGTCATCCATTCGATCAGATTCAGGGACATAATATTGTTCTCCAAATCTTGAGTTGGATTTGGCGAATGACCTTCGTCTTAGAGGAGGCCCATTACCTGCAACTAGGGCTATATTCGGCTTATTTGGAGTAGGATCAGCAGTAACACCACTAGATTGGGTTAATGCTTCATTGGGTGAACCTTGAGAATTAAGCTTAGGGTCCAATGCCTCTGCTTCTCTTGGATAAGACCCTTTTGGCCCTTTCGAATTTTCTTCACCGGTAACATTGATCACCACTTGTCTTCCTTCATTGTTTCCCTCCCCGGCCATTGCATTAGTTTTCCGTCAAAACTCTGGTAAGAGATGAAAGAACATTAAGCAAAGAAGTAGGGTTCCTCTTACAGAAAAAGAATGAGGTTTAGCAACAAAAGAGGGGGTCACACTATCCCCTGTCAACAGATCAAATACAGATTGTTAAAGGGGGAAACAAAGGGGCAAACTTTACATATAAAAATACGAACTTTCTTTCACGACATCTTAACAACCGTTAAAGCAGCGCCGAAAACCTTATTAAATCAATGGCAACCCATAGTAAACAAAGAATCAACTTTCTTTGACGAAAAAATAAGACGATTATCATTCAACTTCAGCATCAAAAGAGCTGGGTGCACACTTTACCTTTACCTGAAAAAAAAAACAAAACCAAAGGTTTCCCAAAAACAACGTCCAAAGAACACCCAGAAAGTGTAAAAAGAAGAAGCTCGAGTTCACACCTCTAACAAGCACAAAGATAGAAAAGATGAGCGGGAAAGAAGTTGAAACGGAAGAAATAAACTAGAAGAATACCAAGATGTAGAGATATCTGGTTCAGAAAGTGAAAGACAAGCACTTGCACTGGTTAATTGCACGTTATCAAACCCAGAAATGGAGGAAGAAATGTATGAGAAGTGCCCCGATAAAAATGAACGCCTGCAGAGAGCAGGGAAAGGGAAAACATAGATTTTTGGAAGTCAACAATGGAGTCAAAAAAATATCTGTTATTTTAAGTGATGCTTAGGGGAAAGAAATTTTTTTTTTATTCATAGTTTCTGGTTTTTTTTTGTATTTTCAGTATTTGTGATATTCAAATCGGGTAGTTTTATCGTACGACAGTCTTAATATACGATTAAATAAATATGTTATTAGAAATATGAATATGTTTTTAATATTTTCGGTAAAAAATTATTTAAAATATTATCTTTTACCGTATTTATTAATATTTTTAATATTTCCGATAAAACGTCTAATATTATTTTTTTTTGTAAAAATATAATATTTTAAATAATATTTTACAGAAAATGTTGAATTTTTTACATAAAGCTCAACATTAATATATTCGATAGAAATAATAATATTTTAGATAATATTTTATCAAAATATTAAAAACTTTATATTTTTGATAATAACTTTCATTTATATATATATAAATATATATGAAGTCCTGATACGTCCCAACTCCATTACCTTTTAGGGTGCGTTTGGTTTACGTAATATAAGATTACCAGTGATAATAAAAGATTATCAGGGAATATAATTATTGAAAATGTTGTATTTTGTCTTTGGTTGATTTAGTAGGAATGTAAGATTACCGTGTTTGGTTAAAGAAATAAAAGATTATTAGAATGTATATTTAACCAAATTGTCCTTATTATACATTTGTTTTTTAACAAGTTGAAAAATATTTATATATTTTCTTTAAAATAATTTAAATTCATAAAATTTATATAATTTTTTTTACAAAATTAAAAATATAAAAAGGTTTAATGAAATGGTAAAATTTTATTTTAACCCCTGAACTTTATATAAAATTTTAATTATAGATTTTTTTTGTAAATCTAAAATAGTTTAAAGATAATTTTATAATTTAACATTCATAGAATTTTTATTATTCAATAACAAAATAATGACATTTTTTAAAGAAATTTTTTAAGGGTATTTTAGTCCAAAACTCCGGTAATCCAACAATACCTAAAGAAAGAGAGGTAATGACATTCCTGGTAATATACCCCAAAAAATTTACTATTGGTAATATAAGATTACCGAAAATGACATTTTCGGCTAACCAAATGGGAGAATGTAGATTTTATTCCTATGTGAATTTCACATTCCTCCAACCAAATACACCCTTAATGCAGGGGCGGGACTCGAAGTGAACGAACAGACAAAGGGTATATATGGAATTTAAAGATCTCGTAGTACGAGGTAGGGCTTCGCTCCTCTGCAACGCGGTCCGTTATTTATTTTTAGTGCGCTAGGCATGACGTGTTTTTCGATCTGGTGGCATGTGATGTGACGCCTGGAATATACCCAATACTATTAATAAAATATTTATAAAATAAATCAAGGCCGAAATTTTGAAGAAAAAAAATAATGAATGACTCCTGGAATATACCCTTTAAATATAAAATATGAATCCACCTAATCCTTAAATATCCTTTACGAAAAGTCAAATTTGTTTAACAAATAAAAAATATGCAGAGTCCTGAAGATGGCTTGAAATATAAAATATATATCAGGTCAATTTTGTTATATATATATATATATATAAAAGATGTTATATATATTTTCGCCTGTTGTTTACAGGCCCATGCAGCTGATCCTTCGGTGTTATGCTTGGATTTAGAGCTGCATAAAAAAAAATTCGAATATTCGATTTTGTGTAAAAAAATATCCGAAATTGAATTTAGGAAAATCAGTTTTTTTTAAACCGGATCGGATATTTTAAAACCGGATTGTATAACTGGTTTGGTAAAAAATTGGACGACCGGATTGTATATTCGAATATTTGATTTCTATTATTTATATTCTCTTAATTTAGTCATATTTTTAATTAAGTTTTAACATAAAATATATTTTTAAATGAAAATATTATGAATTTAAGTATTTATACACCAAAATATTATTAGGTTAATAATAAAATATATTTAATAAGTTAATATATAAAAAATATTATGAATTTAAGTATTTATACACCAAAATACAAAATATATACATCATGTTGTCTACTTTAGACTAATCAATGGTCTTGACATAATGGTTGGATACATGTTTAGTTTCTTAAGTGGCCAAGGTTTGAATCTTTTTTGCCCCGGTTTGTTTTCCGTTGCTTTCTTTCAACTAGAGGGTGACACATGTCACTCTCTGATTGGTAAAAATAAATATATTAATTTAAAATAAAATTAGTCCTCCAAACGAATAGTGACACGTGGCATCATTCGATTGGAGGATTAAATTTATTTTAATTCGGTAAAAGTATAACTAAATTGAGATAATGTGTAAATAATATTGACCAAATGTGTGATTATATAAAAATATTTAATTGTTGTTAAGGGCAGTTAACTCGGGACGACCATATCTTAATTAAAAACTAAATCGAACATATCTTATATTTTTTTAAATAAATGATAAAAGTCGGTGGTTAATCCTAAAAATTATATTAGTTTTTTTTTTAAAAATACGATCATCCCAATAAAAAAACGGCTCCAATAATGTTTCAACTTCTTGAGCCCAAAAGAGACATAACTCGAAGTTCAAAGGCCCATTTTTTCCTGGTCATTCAATACCCACTTACTATTTATAGCAGTGCCATAGAAGGGAGTATAAAACGGGTAAATGAAATCAATCCAAAAAACAATCTATGCCGACCATTTGGTTTATGTGTTTATCATGCAGTTTTTAATGTATGGTTGAAACAGTGGTTTGCCAGACTGAAGAAATGGACCACGTTATTCAGAGGAGGCCTTGTATTATTATGTACGTTTTCAATTATGGAAGGTTGAAAATCTGTAAAACCGGGACCTAAAACCTAATCAAAATCGTTTGGTACAAAGGATTCACCTAACAAATAAGAAAATGTGGTCCAAAGGCTATTACTGTACCCGCTGCTCTCATTTGGAGTCGGCCGATTCGAACGTTGTTGCTTTCCCCGTTGCAGTCACTGTGTGTTCGTTGAGGTGACCAAACCCTTTCCGAAACAATCATTACGTATTTAGTCACGTACTTGTTCAAGAATAAATAGTTAAGTGATCAAAACAGAATGACAGAAATAAGTGAGTGACTAAATATATAGTTTACCCTTGTAATCATTGACAACGAACACTCAATAACCCTTTTAATCGACACCCGTTGCGTCGACAATGCAATATGGTTGCCCTGTCCTGCTCTGCTCATTTTCAGAAAAATCCACACAAAACAAAACTGGGCCACAGAAACATGGTCCATACCCTGCGAGATTTGAAAGCGTGCATGGATAGTGAAAATTAATGCAATTATTGCATTCATCATTTCTTCCTGCAATATTGAAATCAAAGCTTTTAACAAGTTAAATGGATACCAGCTAGGTTAGGCCATTTGCTCGACCCTAAAACCTCATTCAGTTTGTGCTTTTAACTTCAAGGAAATGATTGGGGTCGTTGGAACGATGCAAGTTTACAAACTACGTTAAATGGTTCCAAAACATGGTGGTTAGCTAGACCCGTCGGCATTTCAAGATAGAAGTTAACATCATAACAATGAAAGATAACCCTAAGTCCTCTTAATACATTCATACACAGGGACGAGTAGAAGGAGGATGGTTAATGGCCGTTGACTCCTTAAAAATTTTAAGTTATCATATATTTTAAAATTTTTATATTTTTTATTGATAATTCATTTTCATCTCTTAGGAATTTCTTAATATAAAATTATGCGTCAATCTATGTTCATAGCGATATATTAGGGTTTAAGATGGATTGGAATACACTTGGAAGGGAACCTTAACCCCCACCGTCGCCTATATATTATATTTTTATGAACTCATTGGTGGTTGGTTGGTTTGTCGTTTTCATGCCTTATACGACAATACAAAGAAACTTGGAAACTTGAAGCTAATCTCATGTTCCCAACTCCATAACTCGATCCTCTCAAACTAACATAACCTTGGGCCCCGAACCCTTCCTGCGAACATTTGAAACACGTTCATATCTTAAATAAAAGAGATGAAATGGTCAAATTTTGTGGGTATTTTTTTTCGTTGCTATCTAGGTTTTAAAATTTTGTTTTGATTAATTCAGATCGATTCGCGTCGTGTACCTAATTTTAGTAGTTGAGTATACTATTAAATTTTTTCTGCATAGGATCCAGATTATACTAACACCCCTAGGTTTACAACTGCTAGATTCTTAACCAATACTAGTAGTTAATTAATTAGATCTTATTATATTCATCAATGAAGGCTTTTGTTGTGACTACTTTCAAGGTTTTTCAAACTCTAAAGTGAAGGCATTAAAATAAAATAAAACCGCCTACAATTCTTGAATAATGTTACAAATTCACTGCCGGCCGCCTTAAACTAATGTAGCTTAACCTAGTAGTTTATTATCATCTGATCTGATCATGTTACATTTTTGACTTTAAGAGGTTTTTCATCTGCAGGGTGGGTGGCTCGTGCCCATTTTTCCTCCTGCTGTAATTGGTCCGATTATGGTGTTTAATGAGCAACCAGTGAGTGAGTACACAATGAAAAAATGGCAAACTTTAAGGTGACTCGGCTCTCAGCTAGTCTATTGGAGAAAGGCCTGACCTGTATTTTAGAAAGTGTAGGAAAATCCATGGGCAAACTTACAGTGCCTGGACCCTTTTAGCAGGTGAATGAATCCAAAGATTCGATTGTAATAATTGACATCAGATCATAGCAAAACTTTGTTTCTTGTTCAAATTGGTTCAATCGCCATTAAACTCTGTGGACCATCTTCTTTCCATTTCTTGCTTGTTTCTGTTGATGAGGCTGACATGTTTTACGTTTTACATCGAATACACAATGTTCAAGAAAGAAAGCTCCTAATAGCAATTCTCTTAACTTTCGCTATACCCTAAATTCATTCGAATCTTTCATTTTCCCACTCTTTTCTCTTTCTCTTTTTTCATCTTTCAATCACGTGCTGCTGTCAGTATCTCTTCAGTTCCAGATCATGATCAAAGAATTTAACAAATCCCCATTTCTTGCTTTTTTTTTCCAGGAAAAATTGCATGCTCCCCTTTCATTGTTCATGCTACACTTTGACTTTATTTTTCATGTCTTACGTGCTAGCTTTAGTTTCCCATCTCACTTAAAACAACAAAACCCAAAACGAAAGTGAAATCCATTGGATATTTACACCAAAAATGGCCGTAAAACAGTGCATAAACAAGGCTAGAAAACAGATACAAAAAAGGTGAAAATTAACTACGCTGTCAAGCCATTAGCAATGGCTCGATTTGTTTCTACATGAGTAGTTTCATACACCGGAAGCTCTTCCCTATACTTTTTGTTACCGATAAGAACAAGATGATCTAGGTCGAATAAATCAGAACTCGAATAGCTCGCTGCATCATCTTCATCTTCATCCATCTCCTCTTTTATATAATTACTGCGACTCCCCCTTGAAAAATACTCCTTCCTTTGGTTTAGATGATATTCTTTCAAAAACTTTGCTGCCATTTCTTCCACTCGCCTAGCCTTTTCCGATACTTGGAACTTTATTTCCTCTTCGACCTTTCTCGACGGAGATTTCCGGATTTTCCAAACGGCAACCGGCACTGAACTCGACGAGTCTTCTTCTTCGTATAAGCATTTTTGGCCACATGGTCTGCAGTCTTCATCAACTATTATACTCACCGGGCAAAACCTGACATTTCTTTTGACTCCGTTACGCAGCCTTTCTCTTGTGGAAGGCGAGTTCTTGCTTAAACATGATCTTGAAAACGAGGAAGCTGACGAACAAGTTGAAACCTGTTTGGGTTTCAGTTTCCTTTCATCATCACAGCTCACGATCGAAGATGGAGTGCCCCTCGCTCTTGTTGTGAACAGGGAATTGATGAAATTCGCGAGCCGGCCGCCTGGTGAAATGGGATGTTTCACATTCTTTAAATCGCTGTAAATTTTGGTGGCTCTTGATTTTGAACTGAAAAGACTTTCGCGGAGCTTTGGTTTATAGTCAGGGGCTGAACTATAATGATAATCGTCGAGCATATTTGACTTCCTCTGTTCTGTTTTTTTCTCTGTTTTGACTGGTTTCTCCGACCGAATGGATTCGCTGGTCCTAACAGGTTTCAACCTCGATGTTACAAAACACGATGATTTGGGTTTCGTAACATGCATAGATTCGGTGTCGGACGAAGAGAAACGACCGGAACCGGATTCAGACGAGGTGGAAGTGGAAGTGGAGCTAAAGAAAACCCCATCATGGCCATGATCATCACGATCATATTCGTGACGTGATTTCCTTACGAAATCAGAGAAAACATGTTTCTTTTCATTAGCCTTGTTTTCCATCCATTTCTCGATCAAACATGCATGCCGGAGACTCGACATCTCTTCATCTTCTTCCTCTCCACCGTATCCTCTACTTTTGTTGCATTTAATGCTACCTCTGTGCTGCTTGTTTTGCATTGTATCCCTGTAGAATTTGAAGTCGTCTTTTGTGGAGTCACCGTCATCGATGGAACGGTAGATTTTGTCAAGCAGAGTAGAAGAGAAAGATGGGTTATCTCTCCCCTGCTTGTACACCGTTTTCTCCGATCTGTACATGGCTTCTCGTTTCGTAAAAATGGGCTAAAGGAGAAACTGATGCTGTTGTTTTTTTGAAGACAATGAGAGTGGTGAAAGCAAAATTGCAGGGTTTTGAATTGAAGATGGGAGTGAAGGGGGACAGAAGCTTGTTACTTGTATATAAAGCCGTTCTACATCTTACCAACAATGGAAGGCTATGACAGATTGCCATCTGTCTACGTGGCAGTCTTCTGCTTTTTTTCTTCTTCTTTTTTTCTAAAGCGCGTATATATATATATATATATATATATATAAAATGATATCCCTCAAGTAATACTCTAAGGGTGCGTTTGGTTCACAGAATATAAAATTATCAGTGGGAGTGTAAGATTATCAGGAAATAGGATTACTGGGAATGTTGTATTTTGTGTTTGGTTGGTTTAGCAGAAATGTAAGATTACCGTATTTGGTTAAAGGAATAAAAAATTATTAGAATATATATTTGACCAAATTATCCTTATTATATATTTGTTTTTTTAATAAGTTGAAAAATATTTATATATTTTCTTTAAAAATATTGAATTCATAAAATTTATATATAATTTTTTACAAAATTGAAAATATAAAAATGTTTAATGTAAGGGTAAAATTTTATTTTTATTTTATTTTAACTCATGAACTTCATATAAAATTTTAATTATAGATTTTTTTTTTTGTAAATCTAAAATAGTTTAAGGATAAATTTATAATTTAACATTCGTATAATTTTTATTATTCAATAAATATATTTTTGAAGAAAAAAAATTAAAGGTATTTTAGTCCAAAACGTCGGTAATCAACAATACCTAAGGAAATGGAGGTAATGACATTTTCGGTAATATACCCAAAAAAAATCCACTGTTGATGATAATGTAAGATTACCGAGAATGACATTCCCGGTCAACCAAACGGGGAAATGTGGATTCCATTCCCATGAGAATCTCACATTCCCCCAAACAAACACACCCTAATAGTATCATTTACGAAATATAATTTATTTTACAAACTTCATTTTCTAAAATCTAATTTCAGTAAAACAAAATACCTAACATTTTATAAACTTTAATTTTCAAAATATATTTTTAGTAAATGAAACGGAGCTTAACATTTTTTTATTATCAGTTAACATTTATTCTTAAAACCAAATGAAACCTAAATTTTTATTCACGTGGGAGAGCATAATTAATAAATGATTTAATAACAGCGGTTTTATTAACGAGAAAAGCACCAATTGTCTATGTAATAATGAATCAAATGAGGAAGGAAGGCTCAGTTTTATTCATTTATATTATTATTTTGTTTCTCAACAATTAAGGAAGGTTAAGTGTTGTTAGGGTTTCATTTTAATATATCATCGTTAAAAAATTAACATATTTAATACTTAAACTATCAGTTTTAATTCATTTTGGTAACTAACTTTCACCCTTTTTTTATCAACACTTAAACGTTAAGTTTTAAACGGTGTACTAAAATGAAATAGAAAATTAAACGTTAGATATGATTTTATAAAATTAAAAATTTAAATAATAAAACAGATCAAAACCGATTAGATTCTAATCACGTAAATTTTGTTATTATTAAATACATTATTGAATCTTCTTCATAAGGGAGTAAGTCTTACGATTGTGAGACAACTCTCTGATCGGTAGGACAATGTACCCAAAATATAAATATTATCCGTATGATTTTTTCACTTTTTTTTTTTAGAAAATGGAGTAATCCACGTTTACTAAAAAAAGAAAAACCAACACGAATTGTACCATGGTATTATAAAATGACGTAATCCATACATCACTTGCGACGAAGCCATAAAAATTTAATGTAAGGAGTACGTGGGTTATGATTAATAATTGTTGTTTAACGTTTAATTAACACATTAAACCCTGATATTGCATAAATTTGAGTTTTTTTTAAAATTTCTGTTTTTTCTTTTCAATTAAAAAATATTTAGATTTCATGCATATTTGAATTACATATAAATATTTATTTATATTTAAATAGGTGAAAGATAAATGACAGTCAAAAAATTAGTAATAAACCCAATGCATGGAAGATTGCTTTTAATCATGACATAAAAGACCATCTTAACTATGGTAAATTGAATGGGGAGCCTGTAACTTTGGATCTTTAATCATCTTGAGAGCCTTCTTCTTCTTATTATTATTATTGTTAATCATTTTGATGGTTTTGAAATTTGAAACTGAAAACGAAGAGGAGATTAAACAAAGTTTTTTTCCCTTTTATTTTTAGTTAAATTACGTCATTAGTTATTAAAATTCAAGTTTTGTATTAATTATAGCACTGCATTTCAATTAAGAAATTGGGTCGTTAAATCGTTTATAACCTGATGATGTGGTAATTTATTTCTTTTTCTTTTTTGTAGTAAAACTTCGATTCCTTCTACTATCATTGTCGATTAATCAACCTCCATCGCCGGTTGTCACACAATAAAATCAATATCAAAACATACACATTTTGCTCATATTTATTCTCATCGAATTGGTTTCACACAAAACTCGATCAAATTGAAAAATTTCATCTAAAAGTTCAATATTTTAATACTCTGATCTCCTTTAATATTCGTCTAATGAGACTAGTTTCTAGATATGTTGTTTGTGTTTTCAAAAAAAAAAAATCTTACTATTTGAATTTTCAAATAAATATCCAAACCCTCAAAATAAAAAAAAACTTCCAAACCTAAAAGTGAAAGATTTCTCGAGTTTAATTTCATGAATTAAAAAAACTACAAAAAATAATTAATAAAGCAGTATAGAACGACGAGACGAGTTTATCTTCGTCTAAGATGATTTTAAAAGATGTCAAAAAAATTATTTTTTACGAAAGTTGAAAAATAAACGAAAAACTATAATTTTCATAAAGAAGTGGAATAAACAATTAAAATCTACTTTCACATTAAACATATTAGCATTAAACATATTAGCATTAAACAACCACGCCATTCAATTGTTAATGTAACAACATAATACCTTAATTAACACATAAATTAAAATTTAATACTAAAATTAAAGCATTTAAAAGTTTAATACTAAAATCACTATATAATTAAAGATTTTTCATAAATAAATGAATAATGATATACTTTACCCTTTGTTTTGCTTCTATAGTAGGCATAATACTAAAAATAACTCTCAATGTTTACTAAAATATTCATTTTGACCCATATTTTTTTATTTTGAAGCATTTTAGTCTCCAATATTTTATTTTGAGGTAAAAAAAACTCTTTATAGATGAAAACCATTAGTTAACGCTTCAAAATTAAAGCTTTTTTAACCCTAAATAAAATGTTAAGGCCTAAAATGCCCCTTAAAAAAGAATAAAAGACAAAATGATTATTTTGTAAAATGTTATGACAGTTTATCCTAAAATAAAACGTTGAGATATAAAATACTCTACAAAATAGAATAAATGATAAAATTACTATTTTGATAAACATTAGGATTTAATTTTAGCATTATGCCTTTTATCTTATTGGCCCCTTTTCTACCCTACCCAAAAGGGTGTAGCCAATATACGGTCCAAAGAAGATGGCGCACCCCACTTCCCCAAAAGCAAACATGCTTACTAGTATTTCAGCAAAATCCGATAAATTTAACTTGATTCGATTTTATTAGGTTAATTATTTATTTTAAAAATTTATATATGAATTGGGTTGGATCGAAATTTTTAGGATGTAGACAGATTGTGTCGAGTTCGAATTTAGGATAAAAAAAATACGATATGATCCGATACAATATTATAATTTTTATATATTTAAGGATAATTATGATAATCTCGTTTTAATTTTTTTCTCACTTATGTACTTATTTTATCTAATAATAATGGTTTATATACATATATTTAGGTCGGATCATATTAAGTCAGATCGGATTAAGTCGGATGCGGATTTTAACCTAAAATATCATATCATATTTCATATTGATAAGACATTCCTAAATTCGATTTGAGCTGGATACATGTAGAAAACTTAAATTTTCGGATCGGATTCGGGTAGACCAAAAATCCAATTCGACCCGAGACGTTGCCATCCCTATACATGCAATAGCAAATTAAAACACAGTGCCAGGTTCACTTAACCTAATTAGCAAACCCGATCAATACATGAACCGCCACTTGCTTTCTACAAAAACCTTGAGAAAACCAGTGGCATATATCAACCAGCAACATCATTAAGAATCCTCGATAAGGATGGAGAGCAGAAACCCATAAAGTACAGACTACATAGTATCGTGTTACGATCGCTGTTTGAATGGGGTAAAGGGCCGCCTGCCTCAAAATTCCTTGCCAAGACCACATGGTGTGCTGTTTATGGTTTCCTATCATCAGGGATGGACCTAGACGGGACAGGAGGCGATCGTCGCCACTAAAAATTAAAAAATATCACATATTTTAAATTCTTTTACGTATTTTCTATTGAAAGTATGTTTTCGTCTCCAAGAATTTTACAAGTTCAAGTTCGTTCCCTCCTGAAATTTTATAAGTTCAAGTTCACTCCAAATATGTAATCTTGCGTTTGTCCCGACTATCATGACCCTTGTGTGTGCCCTTCGGGATGGGAAAAATGGGAGAGTGATGCGGAAAGGTGAGTGATTTGGTCTCTTCGAATGGTTTCAAACAGTCAGCTTTGAATGTTGGAGGGTTTTAATTATGATGCAAATGCGAGGGTGGCTTCCACCGCTTAGCAAGCAATATCAGACAGCGATCCATGAGTACTCTCAACATCTGAAATGTGCTCAGCAAACCAAACCAGAGAGACATGATGTCTTTCTTATTTTGGGAAGTTCGCTTTTTGCTTATGTTTGCCAATTGTAGTGGAGTCGAGCATCATGCATCCACGTGCAGTGGTGCAAGCCATGAAACTTTCATGTTTTTCAAACTGTAGTTTGGCTTATCTTTCTGTACTAACATTGCAATCAGGATGAACCGACTACGTTTCTATAAATTTCAACTTTTTCGTATAATTTAATATTTTTTAATAATTTTCTGTTCTTTCATTCATAAAATCCTACTTCTGTTCTTGACTGCGAGAGTTTTTGCTAAGGTCGGGTTGTGGTGGGAGACCCTATTGCCAAAACCGAACATAACCAGGAGACAAAGCCACATTTTTGGGGGTCTCCCATGTAAATGAGGATCAGGATAACATCATACAGGCTATATAGCTGGGGCCTATGGGGTCGGAGGAGTGAATTAACGCTTAAGGTCGTCGTCCTCTTCGATATTCATGTCTCCAGATTCAGTAGGTCTACCGTTTTCTGGATATGCATGAATGATACTTATTAGCTTAGACCCGCGTTCTCTGGTATCTATCCACAGGGTTTGACTACCCCATTCAACCAAGATAAAAACAAGTTGAAAATATAAATACCAAGGAGAAGACTCGATCAACATTCGTATTTGATGGTAGACGGTGGGGTTTTCAGACTTTACGGCAGTACTTGTTCGAGTAGAAAAGCGAAAGGGAATCTTTTGCAAATCAGTGTCATCTACTTTGGAACTGTTCTTCACTTACTTTTTCGAGTGTCATTAATGCAAAATTACGTGATGATGAGTTTTGCATAGTCCTACCTACTGAGCCCTACCATCCATGTTATAAAGCCATGCTAAATTAGCATTTATTCACAAGGAAATAGTAACACGTCCGATTATTGTTCAAAAACGGGTTTCAAAGCAATCATTCCAACGATTAACATACCACTAACAACTAAGGTGGTGTTTTATTTTTGAAGAGGTAAAAGATCTACAGTCTGTGAACCACATCTGCAGCAGAAGAGGTGGATCAAAAATCTGCAGTCTACAAGAAGAAGACTGTTTATTTTTTAACATCTGCAGGCTGCTAAAATAAACTGATTTTTTAAACTTAAAAGAATTTTACAATACTGAAATTTAAATAATTTTAGTTTTATAATACTGAAATTTAAATAATCCATACAACTACAATAATATATTTTTTAAAATAAATCAATTCATATTTTAAAATAAATCAATATATATTTTAAAATAAATCAATCCATATTTTAAATTTTTTTTTCATATTTTAAAATAAATCATCATATTTTAAATAAATCAATCCATATTTAAAATAATTTTTTTCATATTTTAAATAAATCAATTCATATTTTAAAATAAATCAATCCATATTTTAAAATAATTTTTTTCCATATTTTAAAATAAATCAATTTATATTTTAAAATAAATCAATCCATATTTTAAAATAAATTTTTCTATATTTTAAAATAAATCAATTCATATTTTAAAATAATTTTTTTCATATTTTAAAATAAATCAATCAATATTTTAAAATAAATCAATCCATATTTTAAAATAAATTTTTTCATATTTTAAATTTTTTTTTCATATTTCAAAATAAATCAATTCATATTTTAAAATAAATCAATCTATATTTTAAAATAATTTTTAAAATATATTTAAATGATTTTAATTTTCCCGCAGACCTTTAAAGACCTTTGAAGACATAAAACTATGTCTGCACCAAAAAGAGCTCGCACAGACGTTTGAAGAGCTTCTGTCTTCTAAAAAAACAAACGGTCTGCGAAGCATAATGTCTGCGCGTGGTCTACGCGGCACATACATAAGAGGTTTGAAGAGGTTGCACAGTGAAAACAAACTACCCCTAATTTTCTTCAACTGAATAAAGATCGGTCCCATGATTTTTAGTAGAGCTCAACCTTTCTTAAAGAAAATTCTCACCATTAACCACAGCTCTTTACATGGTTCTCTTCTCGAATCAATCGGCATTTTGTCGCTGAATATCTACCAACTGGTAGAGATCACCACGCCGTTGCTTTGCCAAAGGGAGATTCATCCTAAATTTCATATAAACACAATTAAAATTCGTTAGAAATTAGGATTGAATAAAACCATAAGCATATAACACAATGCATAGAACATATATTATGTAGAAGCCAAGTCACCTTCGTTGCTCAAGTATTGAATAATCAATCTCTGCTATAATTATGTCCTCATCATGTTCGGTTGAGGCTAGGACTTCTCCAAACTGTCACATGCAAAAACTTAAATTACGTACTTGTCCGCTCAAAAGACTTCAAACCATAAAAGATTCAGGAAGGCTGTCATTCAACATGTATTACAGAAGCAAAGCCTTATTGTGTAAATCCACAAAAGAGTTAAAGAAAACAAGCATCTTTACTCGCAGGTCCTGCAAGGGTTGAGTGACCCCAAGCCACGTAACCGGCTCCAGCATCTCAAGCAGGTGAACAAGTTGCAACATATAACTTTCATTTAGAATTTTGTTAGAGAAGAAAGAAACACAGACACACAAGAAATCTTTTATGCGCAATCAGATATCCATGTTCCAGACAGCACAGAGCTCTTAATGATCTGAAGACACCGGTTCTGATAAATAGACTCCACTTTCACAATCCAGTATCCATGGTAACATCGGGGAGTAATTTCTATAAACAATTATTTTTCAAAACTTAATAAAGCAGGAGGAATAAAGTACCCTGTCTCCGCTACTCATCTAGAACAGCATCAGAGACCAACATGTTATACTAACCAAACACCGACTGCATTCTAGTTTCGACTATAAAATGACTTGATTTATATTAATTTTCATACATACTAATACCGGCTGTCTTATTAAACCAAACAGTAAAGCATGCAAATTATGAGATTATGAAAGCCTTTACACTGATCAATTGTAGAGAGGAAAATTTTGACTATACCTGATTATCCACAGCCCTGCGTAAAGAACAGAAAGAAACACATTAGTAGATGCACTACCTTAGGATAATAACAGTTACTTAACTTGATTGGCAAAAGTTGGATGTTCAAAGAAAATAAGAGAAATTTTGGAGTACAAACTAGTACAGCTAGACATAGGTGTTAATTCACAGCTGCCAAAGTAATTTAATTTTCACCCTTTAATTTAAATGATGGTTTTGGAAGATGATCAAACATGATAAATTCCACTTCATCAAGTAAATTTGTCGGTGTCTTGGCAAAGCAAATTTAGCAGGTAATGTTTAACTGTAAAAGAACTGATATGCACAGAGTTCCCTACTAGTAAAGAACCAGTAATTCAGCATTCAGCTATATACTGCTATAATCAAAGCAACAAACTTTCGGCATACTTCTGTCATTTTAACGGCACTATAATGTCCCGGTAAAACTAAAACAAGGAACCATCCATGAAAGGAAGCAAGGTCAAAAGAATTGAAACCCTGACTTTTATATTGCTCTCTGCAGTGAGCACCTAATTTCAACAACACAACACAGGAGAAGTAGGCTATGATAATAATTCTCAAAACTAGAAAATAAATTAGGACACAATGATTACATTCATCAGCTAGCAAAAACTATTGATGATTAGCTTCCCACTTAGAATATTACTCACCTAGTATATTCAGTTGCTGAAAACAATTACTTGTCAGTGAAATCTAAATGGTGAAGATTTTACACAGTACTTCATCGAATAATGTATCAGATGTAAGGAATAGAATGTTACATGACAGGGAAAGAGATGATTGACAATATATGATCTAGAAAATGATTCTAACAAAAATTATGACAGGGTATCATGTTCATGGATGCAAAGTCTTAAGGAAGCATCAACCTGTGTCCACAATAGTAGGAGTCTCCCCAGCAGTAAGGGTTTTGGATTCCATAAATGTAATCTTCCCAGGAATATCAATATCAAAAAGGTGGATCTGTAGTTCAAAAGAAATTCATAAAATATCATGCATGTAGAATGTAGCCGAGTATTAGATAAGTTCTGCCGTGTATTTTATGTTTATCTGCTTAGGAGATAAGTTAGATACCCATTAAGTTAGTTTAGATAAGTGGAACTCCTATGCATACGCTAACCTTATAAGACTTTACAGTTGTAAAATTCAGCCATTGATCAACATTCATCCAATGATCCATAATCTGTGTAAGTGGATCCTAACCCCGAGGCTTGCACAGTAAGGTAAAAGGTAAATATAAAGCTTAATACCATGATCATTTTCTTGCAGCAGGAATCAAGGGTTTAATGATACCAAACAACAAATTGTCACGAACAGAACAAGAACCGAGCATTAAATGGTTCAGGCATCTAGTAATACCAGTAGATATATGAACTTATATACAGGTGATGAATTGTCTGATGTTGGACCATAGTCAAATAATTCTTCCTATTGGACAATAAATAACATGTGGCTCCATAATGGAGTACATTTTCTATATACTACCATGTGAGATTAGGAAGTGCCTCTACCTTGAGGTGCTTGGCTTTCAGCTTTCCATCAGTACCGAAGACACAACAAGTATTATACAACTTATCCCCACAGCGTTCAGGTATAGAGCCTCCAACTATCGTGATCCTCTGGAGACAGGAAACTTCAGCCAGCATAGCTGTTGAAGGAGATGCATCATGCCCTGCATCTATATCTTCAGCATAAACTGGAAAGCTGTCATTAGAATATGGGCCGTTCCATATTTCCTGACACAAAAAAACAGACGGGAATGGAGGTCCTTGAGATGTTAATCACAAAATCCATCACATGTAAATTAATTGGTGAAAACCAAAACAGCCATTTCTGGGAACACCAATGTGGTTTAATATTCCACCATATATCTGGCTCGTCAAGCTAGACCAAAAATACTTCAAAAAAAAACTTTAGCTAAAACGCATGACGAACCATTCAAGGTTAGCTATGTATGAAACACAAGATTGAAGCATAAGCACCCATCTGGTATGCTTAATTGCGTATGACGCAATTTTCTAAGACCCATCAAGCTTCTAAAGTTTTGAAGCCTCAAATTGATACAACCAAGCTTAATCATGCACCACAAACTGTAACCTAACGAAAACCCTCATTCGAACATCAGAAAAGGAGAAACCTCGAGACATGGAAAGGAACAGAACTCACAGGCAAGACAACAAGCTAGGCACCCTTTTGAGCAGCCTCCTCGATGGCCTTACGAGCATTCTTTATGTTCCTCTCTTTATCAGGTGTCAGACAACTGGCAAAGCCCAATTTTGAACTACAACAAAAACAACCCAAATAAAACAGATCACTTTAACACACACACGCAATTAAAAACACCAACTTTATTACATAAATGAATACAGGGTAAACAAAGCAAAAGAGGTAACCTTGGTGAGAAGAGGGGTGGGAAGAGGAAGAGCAGGTGGTACCCTCGCTTGTTCAGGCTTGAATGCTGATGACATCATGGATGTGAGTTGAATCGGATTTGGAATTGCAGCTTTTGGTGAAGGTTTTTGGTGTTTGTGGGGATAGTTGGAATGAAGAATGATGCTTGAGAAATGGGTTTTGAGGAATATTGCAGGCGGGAGCGTGAGAGTGCGGTTAGATTCCTGTGGCTAACAATTGCCGACTTCATTTGCTTGGGTCATTTGCATTTTTTGTGTGTACAAACAACTTTTCGTTTATACACTACACTTATACGTGGATATGAATAGTTATCTTATAAATTATCTGATTAGTTGGGTAAAACTTTAGAACCGGAACGATAATTAAAAAAATTATTTTATTATATTAATTATTATTTTTAATAATTTAATAAAAAATATTATTTGAAAATAGGATGGTTTTTTAATTTTGGTGAATTTGAAAATTTATATTGTAAGTATATCAAATAATTATCTAAATACGAACCAAACGATTTCAATGATGAAGAGACTTCTTATTTTTTTTATCGATATCGAGTTCAAGCATCCACCGAGATATTAACATTCATTATCAATTGATCAAGAGTCTTTGACAAAATATTATCTTATATTTATCTCAAATTTATCAAAGAAAAATTAGCTAAAATTACCTGTACATTTTCATTTTATAAATCAAAATAGATATTCATCTAATGTTTTATTTTAAAAAAAAATTAAATATCAATTGAGAAACTAAAATAAATTTGTTACAAAATTTTGAATTTAATTTCTTGAGATGAGCCTTATATTTAATTTAATTTTTCTATACGAACTAATTTAAATAGATAAATTAATCGTTATTGTTATTTTAGAACGATACTATTTTGTAATAATATTAATTTAATAAAAAATAATTTTATTTTTATGTTTCAAAAATATAAAAAAGATTTATTATTATTATTAAATGGGTCAATCCTGCTCCGTTCTGTTTAGGAATTGGCTCGCATATTTTCTGCCTTTCCTCCTTTCTCCTTCCTAGTCAGAGAGAGAGAGAGAGAGAGAGAGAGAGAGAGGGGCTTTAAAGCTAAAACAATTTCTTCATTTGCAAATCTTTCTTTTCCCTCCTTTTCCTCTCACCCCCACAGTTCGTTTTCCTTTCCGTTTTCTCTGCTTCTCCATCCCCACTCTCCAAAAACAAACAGCCCTTCTCTCTGAAACGATAAGCCAAAAAGGAACAAAACAATCCACTCCGGACTTATGGACGGCGGCATTCCGTACAACCCTCGTACCGTCGAGGAAGTCTTCCGGGATTTTAAGGGTCGTCGAGCTGGCATGATTAAAGCCCTCACTACTGGTCATACTTCTCAACTCTCCTTGTAAATTTTACTGCTCTTTTTCTCTTACTTGACTCCCATTTTGTTAACCATCTTTTATTTTTTTATTTGGGTATTGTGATCGTTTCAGATGTGGAGGAGTTTTACCAGCAGTGTGATCCAGGTACTGGGTTTCTGCTTTTATGGAGAATTGATTTCTGGATTTTTATACCCAGCTTTGTTTTGCTTCGTTGATGAAATGATTTACCTGGGCTGGGAATTTAAGTTATGGTTTTTATTTTCAAGGTAGTTTTCTTTTTCATATATAAACGAAACAGAAAAATTCGAGCCCGGTGATTCAAGTTGTTTAAAGTTGAGTACATTTTAATGAAGTTATTAGTGCATCCCATAGTATTTAAGATTGTAGGTTTATTGTTCATTGGGTTTTTGTTAAATAGAATGTTAGTTTTCTCTAAAGGTTCCGGGTTCGAGCAATTGCGTGTGTGCGTTCATTGCTAATTGGCTAAGAAAATTCTGAACAAATTTATCTTATAATCATCCCAAACTAATAAAAAAAAGATTGTATCTTTATTGTTCTTTAAATTTATGGCCTGAAGAAACACCGCAAGTATGGGGTTACCATTTTCTGCTTAAACCACTTCCCCTTTGAAAATAAAAAGTGAACACTTTGAGCTGACCTGAGTACCATATCGGCATGTTTAGGTGTTGTAGATTTAATCACTGTTGTTGTTCTTTACTTGTTGTTTTAGGAATGTAGATTATTTTTCTTTCTTTAGAAAAGTATACGTTTCTAAAAGTTGGTAGGAAAATTTCTTTGTATTTGTTTTTTTATTGACAAACAAGTTTAAGATTGTTGTCAGTGTTTGATTCTTATTGGTTCTTTTGACTTGGATTAAAAAACATGTCCATCTGAAGCTGGATGCAAATTGATCAATGCAAATGCTAAACTCAGTGTGGTTACCTTGTCTTTTGTCCGTTCTACGTTGTTAGATTCTAGATGCAAAGAATGAAATGAGACAATTCAAATGTTAAAATTTTGAGTGCAGAAAAGGAGAATCTTTGCCTTTATGGATTTCCTAATGAGCAGTGGGAGGTGAATTTACCTGCAGAAGAGGTGCCTCCGGAGATTCCCGAACCTGCACTGGGTATTAACTTTGCCAGAGATGGAATGCAAGAAAAGGACTGGTTATCTTTGGTTGCTGTACACAGTGATGCGTGGTTACTCGCCGTGGCTTTCTATTTTGGTGCTAGGTTTGGATTTGATAAAGCTGATAGGTATTTTTCATACCACCCAAGCGTAGTCTCCTAGTTTGACTTTATATACACATTCTAGGTGTAAATAAGCTAATTTACTTGGTTGGTATACATACAACCCCGGCTACTTCAGCAAAATAATTTATTTGTTTCTCTTGTAGTTTCGATATTTTGCTTTTATTAAGATTTTATACTAATTGTATGTCTTATCATGAAAAAGTTTTGCATGTTGTCTTTCCCCTTAATTGACAACCTTTTTTGTAATGGAACTCTTTTATGGTGAACTTTTGTGCACCACACAAATTTGTCTATTTGCTAATTTAATTTATTTGAAAAAGGGCTCTAGGTGTTAACTTAATTCTGAAGTCCTTCTAAGTGCCAATGTTTGATTGCTCTGATCCTTAAATTTAAACCTTAACATGAACCGGTTACAGATTATGTGTAGATATTATAAAAGGCATAGCATGAGTGAGCTTGATTAAACTGAGATGCTGTGTACTTGATTTGCATGAGGCTATAACAGTTGTCCCTTATGTTGTACTACTATTTTTCCTCCTTTATACCATGCTGGTTGATGTGATGCAGGAAACGCTTTTTCAATATGATAAATGATCTTCCAACAATATTCGAAGTTGTGACAGGGGCGGCTAAGAAACAGACAAAGGAGAAATCTTCTGTTTCAAATCATAGCAACAACAAGTCTAAATCAAACTCTAAGGTACTTGAAACCTTTTTCTTTACTGTCTCATTCATTATTGTTACTATTTGACAACGGCGTCTGATATTGTGAAAGTTTAATTCTTTGGATTTGTTGCCATTTTTTCTGTAAATTTTATTCTCCTTGTGGTGATAGCTGATAGAAAAGAGGGAAATAACTTTAAATTTTCAAGGGGACCTTATAAATTAGATTTTCTTTTCCCTTTGTGTTTGACAAAATGCAGCGGGGTTCTGAATCTCAGCTCAAATATTCAAAGCCAGTGCTGCAAAAGGATGAGGACGAGGAAGACGAGGAACATGGAGACACATTATGTGGGGCTTGTGGAGAGAATGATGCAGCTGATGAATTCTGGATTTGCTGTGATATATGTGAGAAATGGTTCCACGGAAAGTGTGTCAAGATTACTCCGGCTAAGGCAGAGTTCATTAAACAGTACAAATGCCCATCGTGCAACAACAAGAGAGCACGTCCTTGACAATGGCCGGTCATGGCTTGTGTGTGAATTCTGTCATTGCGGAATCTGCTAGCTGTCTAGAAGTTCATCCTCTCAAGTATGTTCCTTCGTCTTGGCAAATCTTTCATGGATTTTCTATGTAGGTGGCAATGCTGTTTAAGTTGTTTATGAAATAGGATATTAATAAGGCTGAGAATCATTTTTCTTTGCCATTGGAAGGGAGACTTTACTTGATTCTTCTTGTGTTTATGTGCATGCAACTTCATTTCCATTTTCTTTGTTTGGGGCAGTATAAGACACGGTCCAGCCCAGCATAACGGCCTGTTTGATAATGGCTCTTGTCCATCCAAACTGCACGTTTTTCATTGTTCAACCGAGATTATTTAGAAGGGATTAGATTAAAGGCAAAGCTGATGTTATTAAAATATGCTAAGCATGTGCTATAATACTTTGTTCTCGGTTGAGACGCCTTATCCATCCACCATGGATGGCACGTGACTTGCATCATGTCATGTAAGATCTGCCTGTTGCTTTTCAAGATGCTCCTGCAGCTCAGCTATATTTTAAGAATGCATGGGGAGTAATTTTCTATTTACATGTGCACCGTGCAGGTGACCTATATAATTAAAACGAATGAGACATTATTTATTGTTTTTATATAAAAAGGCCGATCGACTGCTAAATCTTTGGATGATTTGCTTTTGTCATTTTTTTGTGTGTTATTTAACGAATGGGTAAAGTTGGGTCTGAGATTTGGGAAGACCAATGTGTTATGTGACCCGAAGTAGGAAGCTTTGAGTATTACCCTTTTGTATCCGAATTGTTTTGCCTTTTCAAGGTTTTCAAGGGCACAGCCAAGGTAGTATGGTTTGTAAAGTAAAAGCAACTCCATGATCTTAAATTGAATTTAAGTAAGCTGAAGCAAGAAATAGACAGTGTTATGATTTTTAAACTGAATCATCATTTGAGTTACAATGATAGAATGACTACATGAACTCACTGGGGGTAGAAAAAGGTTGAATCATAACAGATTGACAACAGATGAAAAAGAAAGAAATTTCTTGCACATTGATAGTGATCCTTTATCATTACAAGGCAAACGGGGAACAAGGTTTGTTTAACAAGCCTGAAAGATCTGAAGTGTGAGAATCTATATGTTTATTTTTTTCCCTTCAGCCGCTCTGTTATGTCAAACTCCCTTGGCTCTTGGTTGATAACCGTTTCAAGAACTCATAGGTAGTGATCATGGTTGTTGCAGACAGAGACATTGACGCCCATCTTGGTCCCAGTCCCCTATAACAAGCTGCCAATCCGCCTTCGTTAACCAAGTTCCTTACTGTCTGCAAAACTGTCATAGGTCTTCTCATCCCATTCTCTTCTCCATCCAGAACCTGTAGTCTGGTCTTGATGATGTCAAGTGGCATTGTGATAAGAGCCGAAACGCCACTAGCCATGGCAGCACTTAACCCTTGGACGGCCACCAAGGTCTTTGAATCAGGCTTAAAACCAGATCCTCCAATCACACCACTCTCATCTCTTTTACCCATAGAGCAACCAAGACCAGCCGAAACGAGCTTCTGAGCAACAGAGTACGATGTCCACCAAACCGCATTCGACGGTGCGTAGGTCAATATTGAGATCCCAAATCCCCTATACAATCCTTTAGGACCATCTGCATGCAGGATCTTCCTAAACGCGTCAAGACCATTCTTATATCTACAATTTGAAAATGCATTTCTGCAACTGTTGCTAGAGTTGTAACCTTGAACCATAAGTCTTTGGCTCACGACATCGATCGGGGTCCAAACAAGTTGAGCAGCCATAGCTGAGTTTAACCCGGCAGCAGCACAAGCTATCGCAGTTGCCGTAGTATCCGAAAACCCTAGACGAACAGTTGCAGTGCCAACACTGCTCTTGGTAACCTCAAGGGCTCCCATGTAAAGTGCTCGAGCTGGGATTGTGCCCATCAAGGAGGTACCAAAACCCCTATAGAATCCTCTCAATCCTTCGTATCTCATGATAGAGAGAGACATCTTGGAGCAAGAAATATGCGTGGACGACACTTGTTGCCTAGTTTTCAAAACCACAACAGGGTAAAGAGCAAATGACACACCTGAAAATAAAGCGGCACCATGAAAAAAGAACTTGGATTTATCAAGCATATGCCAATCTATATCTGCCGGTAAATGAATCTCTGACCCCGAATCATCTCGGCTGCACTTAAACTCATTTTCGCCACTTTTGATAAACTGTTTAGTACACAAACAACTAAAATATGTTTTTGTTACCCTTTCACCAAAAATTAATCAGAAACCACCTTAAAATCCAATTCAAAACTCAATGTAGACCAACCCAGCTCAAGTCAAATATAACTCCAGCTACCTGGGTTTTCTATGAAACTAAAGCTGCAAGTTAGTAAGAGAGAAGAAAATATCAAAAAAGTGGGAACAAACTATAAAAAAAGGCTTAAAAAATATGGGTTTTTATTCTTTGAAGTAATTGGATTTTGGGTTTGAAATTCGAAGAAGGAAAAATGAAGATTTTTTCCGTTAGTATTGAGTAAAAGACCAAAAAAGGAAAGGGTTTTTGTTGGTTTCCTCTTCTTCCTTTCGCGAAGCCAAATTCTTGAGCGAACGTGGATCAGCAGAAATAAATCGCACATTTACTCACCATACACAACCCCAGATTTTAGTTGATTATTTCCAGAAAAAAACTCCAAGCCTTGCAACATCTTCAAGGCTTCATCTTTTATCAGTAGGCAACTGGGAAATCACGGAAGGAGAGGAAAAGCACAGATCTCGATAGCAAAGAATATGAAAGAATGGGCAAAATTTCACAGAAAGCGAAATGCTTAAATGGATAGTGTTAATACGAATGAAATGCAAAGAGAGTTGAGAGAGAGCTTAAAACGGTAGAGACAAGAGAGGGGCAGGGCAAAGGACACGGTTATGGATTTTAGCATAGTGTTTGAGGGTCGAGGAAAATAGACACGTGTCCGTAATTTACTTGGATAGCTGTTGGTTTTGTAGGCTGATTTTAAGGTTCACTTGGTTTAAGCAGCTTGATTGTTGCTGGCCTCTGATTTCTAACTAAACCGTGGGTTATATCATATCGTTTATCAATCAAATTAATCGATTGAATATCTTTATCTTTATAAACAAATAAAAAAAATTATTTTATTAATCTCGTGATTCGAAGATAATATTTATTTAAAAAAATCTCTCAATTATTAAATAATAAATGCTTAAAATCTCCTTATATACACTATGTTAACTTTTAAAAATGATAACTACCGTTTTTAATCGAGATAATTTACGGGTAAGGGGAACTTTAAGCTCTTTTTTGAGACGTTTGAGATGAAGTAAAAAGGGGAATGCATGAGATTCCCGTTTATTTTGTCCAATACCGAGGGCGTCAAATTTATTTGGTTTAATACGTCACTTCATATTTTATTTTGTAATCTACGAAAAATATTACAGTACAGGAAAAACTCGTCACTTTCGAGATAATGTGTTTATCCACATAATATTTTTTTTATTCAAACTTATCACGTCGAGATAACGAGTTCCGCTAAAATATAATTTTTCATTAGATTTTTGTCACATAGGAGTAGAGTTCCAATAAAAAAATTATATTTTATTAAAATTTGCATTTAAACGCGACGAGTTCCAAATAATTGTAACAAGCACATAGTTCCTAAAAAAAACTGGTGCTACATATTAGGCTAAATAATTAGCCCACATACGATATTGGGTCAAATTTGCCTGAGATTATCTGCAAATGACTTTAAGTTGGCCAAGCTTGGCTCAACAGGGGAATGGGGGTTGATTTCTACCCTACAATTTCGAATTTGATCCAACCCTAATGTCTTTGCCTGGCAAATCGGGCCCGATACTTATTAATTACAGACTGTTCATTTATGGAGAGAAAATTACAGAACTTTTGCCTACCTTCTTCACAATTACAGACAGACTGATAAATCTCTAGAATAATCGTCTCTCTTGCTTATCCTCATATATATATATATATATGAATCAGTTCTCCTCCTTTCAAATCTATCTGAATCAGCTTAATCTCTCTCCTTGCATCACATAATCTACGTCCTTTCTTCTGTTTATTTCTAGAGCTTCGGGAAATCATGGATTTGAGGAGCTTGGGGTTCGAGTCTCCTTTCTTCACAATCCTGGGAGACATGCTGGACATCCCAGAGGAGCAGGAGAAGACCCGAAACAACCCGTCTCGAGCCTAAGTTCGAGATGGGAAGGCCATGGCGGCCACTCCAGCTGACGTGATGGAGTACCCGACGTCTTACGTATTCGTCGTGGACATGCCCGGAATGAGCAACGGCGAGATCAAGGTTCAGGTGGAGGACGAGAACGTGCTGGTGGTGAGCGGTGAGCGGAAGCGTGATAAAGAGAAAGACGATGAGAAAGAAGGGGTGAGGTACGTGAGGATGGAAAGGAGGATGGGCAAGTTCATGAGGAAGTTTCAATTGCCGGAGAACGCCGACATGGATAAGATATCTGCAGTCTGTAAAGATGGAGTCTTGAGAGTCACCGTGGAGAAAATACCTCCGCCCGAACCCAAAAAGCCCAAGACCATTGAGGTCAAAGTTGCATGAGAATCGTTGTTTGATTTTAATGTCAGTGTGAAACCGTGATTGGTCTTAATGTCATCTTCTCTTCACCATGAGCTGGATTCTATGACAGATCAATGTGTTTGTTGGATTAAAAACTGGGGAAAGAAAGCATTTGATGCTGTTTATACCTGACCGCGCATAGACAACAGACACCTAATGCTTTTAACATACCGGATGCTAAATTAACAACTTGAGTTCATCTCTTCGAAAACCAACATACCGATCCTTCCACGGCCCAAGGCATCTTAATATTTTTAATCTCTACTTATTATTTTAAACGTTTAAATTAAATTATAATATTCTTAATGTTTTTTATTTTAGTTATTTAAATATTTATATTATAATATTTTATCAATATAAATATTTTTGAAATAGTATATGTTCAAATTAGAATCTTTAAAGAAAATATGATATATTTTGTATAATTATTTTCATAAACAATATTTTAAGTATTTATTCAAAAATCTTTTCAAGTGAATCTAACATTTTTTTAATTTAAATCTATTGATTAATTAAATAAAGTAAAAATTTATTATTGGGATGATTTTTCAATCTAATTTTTTAATTCACCGTACTAAAATTAAGACAGTTATTTTTTTTATTAAACACCTAATCTTGCTTAAATAGATTATTTTAAATATTTAAGTACTTTAAATTGATTATTTTAAATACTTAAATACTTTAAATAAATAATAATAATAATTTAAATGCTCAAATAAAAACATGACAGTTAAACAAACATCAAAAAATATCTTCACCAAGTTAAACTTTACCAACAAAAATACCGGCCCACTACCCTGTCAGTCAACAGGGTAAGAAATTCTAGACCTTCCAAAACATTCTGGAAAGTGGAACTGTTCAAGAAAAGAAGGAAACGCAGACTTCTGGAAAACACTGGACGTTTTCTTCCGGAAACTTCCTGCCCAACCTTATAAATGATCTAAACCATTCACGAATTACCATCCAAGGAACGAAGTAAATCGGCATCCGAAAATCGAAGCAAGATCCAAACAATCTCGGCCAATAATCCACCACAGGAAAAGGAGAAAAATGGATTTCAGAATTGTGGGTTTAGACTCTCCGTTTCTTAGCTCTCTCCACCAAATGATGGATCTTTCCGAAGACTCGGACAAGATCCCCAACGCACCATCCAAGGTTTACGTGCGTGATGCCAAGGCCATGGCCGCAACCCCAGCTGATATTAAAGAGTACCCCAAGTCTTACGCCTTCATCATCGACATGCCGGGGCTGAAATCAGGGGACATCAAGGTGCAGGTGGAGGGCGACAATGTGCTGTTGATCAGTGGAGAGAGGAAGCGAGAGGAGGAGAAAGAAGGAGCCAAGTATATAAGGATGGAGAGGCGGATCGGCAAGTTCATGCGCAAATTTACACTGCCTGAGAATGCCAATACCGACGCTATCTCTGCGGTTTGTCAAGATGGGGTTCTAACTGTGACCGTGGAGAAACTGCCACCGCCTGAGCCTAAGAAACCCAAGACCATCGAGGTCAAAATTGCTTGAGCCAGTTTCACAATTACGGTCGTTGCTAGTGTAGGCCTTTAAATAAGTAGGCGGTTGTTGCCCTGTGAGTAGTTGTACTGTTTGCCGTGCTTGCTTTTGAATTTGTTGTCTGAGCTCTCTTTGTTGTGCTGTTGAAATCATGAAATGCAGTTGTTATTAAATACTACTAGTATTTTCCTGTATGTTTCACTCTCGTTTTAATAACATGAATGGCTGTCATGAATCAAATAGCCAAAGGGCAGAGCAAGTTCTACTGAAACTGGGAAAGGTGGAAGAAAATAACAACAGACGAAAAGGTATCAAAATGCAAATACAATACTAGGCTCGTTTTTCTTCGTAATGATTAGAACAGAGAAATATCTTCAAATTAAAACCTCAATGCCGCTGTTTGGTGAAGTTAATCCTCGAACTAGGTTTACAATGTGACAACATTTTACACATTCCGCCAAATATGATTGGCGTTAGAATTCTCATCTTTTTCTTGCTCGGGTTTCTCCCTTTACTAGCACGCTTTACAGGAGGACGAGATGTATCAGAATCAGGGTTTAATGATGGGCGGCTCATGGATCCGTCTTCCCTGATAAACAAAGCAATGAAAAAGCCTTCTTTGTCCTCAGCAGGGTCTGTCCGCAGCAAATGTTCAGCTGCAAGACAATAATGCATCAAGACATTTAGACTCGGTACACTCGAGAATGATATCAGGGGAAGAAATCATCAGCTTACAGCCTTCTAGAACAGGGAGACCACGACGAGGCCACTGAGGAAAGGGAGTTGCTAGTCGAAAACCATGGGATATGGCGAAGGGCAAAACGGATTTGACAACATCTTCGTTTTCAATTTGGTGGATGGAACAAGTGCTGTAAACTACTCTCTCAACTTGTGGAACTGTAGGTAGAAAACGTGAAACATAATCATTCAGTTATGCTCTTCAAGTATTTCCACGACCCTAACAGGGGGGCAAAAGGTAGTACTTACAGCTCAGTGCATGCTCAAGCGCTTTCTTTTGAAAGCAGGCCAGCTTGTTTATTCTCTCTGTTTCATCAATATTTGCAGATTGGCCTGCATAATTTGATATGATAATTTGCAAGAAAACACGGAACAATTTGGAGAGAACTAAAATCTACGAGCATTATATACCCGCAGCATAAGATGGAAGCAAATGATCCAATCTCTGAGCAATCGTACCAGATCCAGAGCAGGAAGGATCCAGAAGAATAGCACGGACCTGCAATGTATATTCACTTTACTCGAATAAGACCATGGCGTTAAAAGAAGACTAGAGAAGATAGACAATTTGATGTTAAAAGAAGAATAGCACGGAACTATACACCATGATGGGTTGAGCTGTTTCACTTTAATTGAAAACACAACTAACAAAAGAGCCATGCCACTAATTGCTATTCTACTTTCAGACTCATAACAGTCCAATGTAAAAAACTCTTTCCAAAAAAAAAAAAGAAGTGCCTAACCCATTTAACTCGGGACTCAAGTCGGGGAATACTTACCTTGGAATACAGAGAATCTTCAGGATCCAAGCCTAGAAAATCGCCATGAAAGACTTCAATGTCTATAACCCAGTTAAGAATAACATGTCACTGGAAAGATTTTCATAAAAAACACCAGGAGAATGATCAAGAACATATGCTAGTAGACGTAGATAACAGAAATGAAAACATATAATCCTGTTTAAGGATGACAGGTCAGTTAATGCATTATAAACAGGCAACATGGTAACTTATACAGGCCCTTCCACGATAGCATCCTGGGCAATATAGAAAAAGAGTACTACTCAAATAGAGAAAATCTAAATAATCACATAATATTTGCAAGGATACTACGTGCGCCGGATAGCCTGACAGTGTCTGTTAAACGTTTTATCCTTTCCTTATTCAGTTCACAGGCTATGACCTTTCCTTTCCCTCTCATAAGAGCAGCGAGATGCACAGTTTTGTTCCCTGGAGCTGCACATGCATCAAGAACCTTCACAAAAATATGGAAGTAAGCATGCCATGACTAGATCCCAACATCAAACTAAAGCAGAATTTGGACTTCTACCATATACCTAAAATGAATCTGTACTACGGATATAAAAATATTTAAATACAAAGAACAATATATAAGTTCATAATTTTCCCTAGCAAGAACACTTACTTCCCATCCTGGTTCAGGATCAAGAGCGGCTGCCACCATAGAACTAGCTTTCCCCTGTATAGTTGCCGATTAGCATCAAAAGAAATAAACTAAAAGAAACTGAGAAACTGCTCTTATATTCCAACAGTAAACAACTATATGATAGTCACTTATTCGTACTTGCATAAATATGCTTCCATCCATGATCAAAGGATGATCATGAAGATCACATTTTGGTGGGAGTTTTAATAAGTCAGGAACCAGGTCATCTTTTTGCACCTGTTAAGAAAATGAAAGATTTTAACAAAATAATACATCGAAAACTGGCCACAAAAGAAGATAAAAGACTAGAGATATCAGTAAATAAAAAACATAAGAAAGGATAAGAAGCTGCAAACTTTTTTACTAAATATAATGTAGAAACAACAAAATTAAGATAAGAACAAGCAGCAATGAGTGCATGCTACTTGATGAACCCTGGTAATGAACTCACATCACTCGTATTACTCTATATTACTATAGAAATTAGAACATTCAAAATAGTTCACAATACCCCAAAAGGTTTAGCTACAGAAAGTACCATGTACTGTTTCCTGAATTCAACTAAGGCAGAATCAACATCCAATTTAAGGGTGTTCACACGAACATAGCGGGGTTTTGAAACATCTGCAATAGACAGTAAGCCGTACATCAAGTAACGAATTAACAAGCAACAGAAGCACTTGATTGCAACAGAACATCTTACTTAACACATACCAGGTGTTTGATAATGATCTATCAAGTCTTCAATGCGCTTCATCTTTTTCCTCACTAAAAGCCGAGCTAAAGCAGACTGAAGAGGAACTTTTTCTCTGTACCAGAAATTTCTCCGCATCACCAACAAATGAAATTTCCTAGAAATCAGATTTAACGCCACAAGATTACAACGCGTACAACAAGGATACGGGACATTGGGGGGGAAATAGTACATGAAATATGAACCCTTCAGCAAATAACTGCAAAACCATTCTATAAAATAATGCTACAACTTATGAAAATATCTCACTTTCTTAGTTAGACAACCCAAGAAACATGGGAATTCAGGAATTGAAGGTAAGCGATCATATTCACTTGTTCGCATTCGAACTAAAAGTATGAATTACAAAGCATAAGAATCTTTGAGACATTAAACAGAGAAAAGCTTATGGCCAACTGCATCATGTCTCAACTCCGAAGAGACTTCGAGTATCAGTAAAATTCAAGAGTTTGCTTGTTATTCATAGGAAATTCACACACGTAAAAAACGTAAAATGGAAATGAGAAGCTAATGAAGATTCAAACCTGACCAAAAAGAACATCATATGCGATTATATAAACCAACTCCACTTGCCTCTGCAATATCAAAACAATAATTAGAATTATCAGAAGCTTCGCCAAGTTGCAATTTTACATCTCCAGTAAAACAATACTACAGCAAGAAAAGAAAATGCAAGCAAAGCGAATTAAAAAAAATCATCGCTTTCTTTTTTTACTAATAGCTCAGAAATTTTTACCTTCCATCTACTATTCAATATTTTAGCATCCTCTAACACGTCCTTAATGATAGGAAGATCTGAAAAAAATCAAATCCGGAAGCGTAAAAAGATGAAGCAGCTATGCTAAAGCTTCCAAATATTTTGCTCCTATGAACAAACAGAAATACTGAAAGAGAGAAAGTGAAGAATAAACATAAGTTACGTTTGAGGGTTTGACAAACGAGAGCGAAAGTAGCCTTCTTGTTCTTAACAGAAGGGCTATAAACGAGGGACTTTATGGAGCCAACGGCCCGTCGGTGAGCGTCTCCTTGGAGAACTGATCGTAGTACCTTCGCCGCCTCCCTCCTTGCGAAGTAAGAGGACCTCTCGGCGTTGCTCATTCGAGGCTTCTTCGGTTTCTCGGAGGCCGCCGACGATGACTGCTTCGACTTGAAACGGGCCATTGTTTGCAAGCGAGTGGGGGAACCTGGGAGGGAGGGAGCAAAGAGAACTCTGAAAATTCTACGCGCAGCTCAACTCAATCCAAACGCATAGTTTCCTGTTTGGGCAGCTAGGTCTTTCCAAGCAAAGGCCCATTTCTTTAGGCTGGGAAGTAAGTTTCAAGTCCCAAATTTGACCCAGAGTATTGTTTTATAGGGTAAACTACAAGTTTAGCACCCAACTATCACTTTTGTTCTGTTTGAGTGACCTAACTATTTACTTTTTCAAAATCAAACCTATCATTTAGTTTTGGTTTCATTGTGATCATCCATTGTTAAAAAATTAACTGTGATGTTGACGTGCCACTACAACATCATCACTGAAAAAATAGAAAATGACATGCTAATAGTTCCGTTAATTTTTTAACGATGGGTGACCAAAATAAAATCAAAACGTAATGTTACATATAATTTTGAAGAAAAAATAGTCGGGCGACCAAAATGGAATCAAAGTGGTAGTTGGGATACTAAACGTGTAGTTTACCCTATTTTATATCTATTAAAATGAAGGGGTTATCACTTTGAGGTACAATGCCTCCGGCTATCTGCTTCTTTTATTTCCAGGTAAGAGTTGTACTTAGCATTGACGCCCTTATTTACATATCGTTTATGCTATGAGTCCTGAAAACTGAAATTCAATAGCCATAGATTTTGATGCCATACTGCCTTTTGCCTTATGTATGAAAGAAAACAAGCCATGATGCTATGGCCTGTTACCTAACCCAGGAATATGCATATTTGTGCCTTTTTGTCCATCCTTTGTGTGCAGGATGATGCTTCTGTTGTCAATCATTGGCTACCATTAATGGATTCAACCTACGGCAAGGATCAGGCCGTGAAATGGACGGCTTATTGGTGAACGTTTTTTTTATCGATGTTGCGGAACTCTTGGGATACAATAACGGAGAAAAATGGATGGCAGTGTGATTTCAAGTTCTCATGACCTTGTCTCCACTAGACATATCAATCAATAATGGACGATATGGCAAAAGTAAATCAAGTACAAGAGATAAACATTAACACACATATTTCCACATGTATCATGCACTATGAGAAGAAAGAAAGCACCATACAAGGCCAAGAATGGATCACTTCCAAAACCATATGCATTGGCCGGCTTATTGTGCTACAAAAACCAGAATCATCTCGTCCGAATCAATCAATGGATTTAACCAATGGAAACATGAAGAACTGCACTACTATTATCTTCCAAATTTCCCAACTTTTTATATAAGCACAATGGGTTGAAATAACACGAAACAAGTACCTCTCGGAGTGAATTTTTTTAACTCGGAGGTTCGATGAATACAATTTCACACAGCGACAATAGCTTGGAATCGACATAACCTCCTATTTCCTACAGCACAGCTAAGATTTACAATAGCTAGAACCTCATATGGTTTACATCAAGATTCTTGAAACAATGGAGAGGTGCTGGAACGGTGCATGTTCTATATATAGTACATGAGAGACTGATACCCTCATAAAGTCTCCTCCCCTTTGGAAAACAAATGGGAAAAACTATATCGAAGCGTATAAAAATTTGTCATATAGCAAGACTGAAGATCGAAGGATGGTCGAGAGATCATCATATCTTACTCTTGAACTTCCTTTGAGCTTTCAGATCAACCACAAGTACTGTGATGTTGTCCTTGCTTCCTTTTTGAAGAGCTCGGTTTGAAAGGTATTCTGCTGCAGATTGAGCAGCGGGATCGATTGTCTCGCCCCTTTCTGATGCCAGTGTAGCACCATTCTTTTTGTGCCATTGAAGTATTCGTCTCCGAGCTAGGTCACATGCTTCTTCATTTGTCATTACATCCCATAGACCATCACTGGCTAAGATGAGGCATTCGTCTTCTTTCACTCTCGGAACGAACATTACTTCCGGATCCGGAATGATCCATGGCTTGAAATATCTATCACCTGAAACAAAAAGAATGGTCATTCTCGTTACCTTTTAATTATGTGTTTTTCACTCGACAAGATAAGCTTAGATTCTGTTATCCTACATGACTTAATGAAAGAAACACCTAAGCAACTATCCTCAAAAACCATATAAGATCAATGCCCAAATTTTAATCTAGAAGATACCACCCCGAGTTTGATACTGAAACAGTAGGAGGAATACTTTAAATACTATCAGAAGACGACATGATTCTTGGGAGACATCCTTGTTAGAAAAGAAAATTGACAACATTGATCGACAGAACCAAATTGCACAAATATTTACAATCTACTCCTCTAACATTCATTAAACTTGTTGCGAGAATCATAATTTCCTCAGGCCAAGCTGAAGGCATTTTATTTTATTATAAAACAGCTCTACCACTTTAGCAGTTTATACACAGAAAGTGAAGAAATGTTCTACATAGAATTCAACAACACAAAGTTACTGCATGCATCACCGCCGTAAAGAAGTGAAGACTTTGATACTAGGCAAAGCCATAGGAAATACACCGGAAGCTAGAGTAAAAGTTCAAGCAATACAGTAACAGTTTTTGGTCTACTACCCTGTCACCCCATTAACACACTTCAGCGGGCAGATAGAAAAAACTGTGACGAATTCATCCAATTCTGAAGCATCATTGTATATAATGGTAAAAAAGAAGAGTTCAATCCTATTGAAAATTAAAAGAAGGTTCAATATGAATGAACACATACCAATGGACCTCGACATTGCAAGAACACCAAAAACTCTATGACCATTCCACTGGATAACTTTGCCTCCAGCTGCTTCAATCCTTTCATATTCATCTTCTCGATTTGGCTGAGAAATGTGAAGAGAATAGAAGTTAAAAGGGTGTAAGTTACCAACAATAAGAAATACAAGATATAAAGGCACAATTTAGTCTGTACTTTATGGTCCACAGATAAAGCCATGGGCTCTTTCCCACGACATAGAACAGCTCTCGAATCTCCACAGTTTGCTACAATTATATGTGAAGAACAAATAAGGGCAACAACTGCAGTGGAACCAACTGTTTCAGGGGCAACAGGTTCTTGATCGGCTTTTCCTCCAATCTCAGCATCAACCTTAAGAAAACAATTTGTGAATGCCTTTTTCCACAGCTCTTGGCAACCATAGGTTATGCTTGCATTACTAACAGACTCTATTTCCTGAGCCAAGGCAAAATGAAGACGCTCTCGACAGTAGTTTGCAACCTGTGTACAATGGCAGCGACCAAGAAAGAAATTCACTTCCAGGACATCTAGTTAGTGCATGATATATTGGAAAGACAAGAAGGTTAACATGATAGATATAGATGAAATTGCCAAACTAACCTGTGAACCTCCATGACCATCATAGACCCCAAAGAAGTGAGCAGTCTGATGAGCAAAGTCCCCACTAAGGCCATCAAGTATCTGATCACCAATTAGCAATTGAATTGGAACCTTTAAAAACCGAGGCACAGCCGCAACTGCATCTTCCATCTCGGGTCTTCTTCCGCATATAGAGGTAAATCCCCAGAGAGGCACATATTCCACCTCAAACACACTGCGCCCAACTGGAGCTGATATACTCCGTTGCTTTTCGAGAGCCAATTGAAGAATAGCTGCAGATGGCTTCTGTTCAGACCCATCTCCAATCTCTTCTTCAAGGTTTACTGCCACAGAAAGAGGATCACTAGCAAACTCTTTTTCAACGTTTGACTCCACAAAGTTGGTGCCTTTTGCAATTATATCTACACTGCAAGTGCCCTTCTCCTTGTCCACACTACTTGGTGTTCCTACATCAGATGTAGCATCAAAACTAATGAAATCCTCTCCGCAAAGGCTACTGGTCTCACTTGCAACCGATAGTGAACAAGAGCTGTCAAGATCGAAAACGCGATCACCTTCCAGAGACAAAGAATCTTCCTCCTCGCTATCACGGGCTATAACATCATTATTACCAATCCAACTATCTTTACTATCAGACATCATATCCAAGGAGATTGCTCTTTCTCCCTTGACCTCTTCTGTCAGTGGCACCTCTGTGCTACTTTCTTCTATCTCCATATCGACACAGTTACAATCCACATCTTCAGCAGAACCTAAATTGTTAGTACCCTTGGTTTCGGAGTCGATTAAAACATCAGCAGGGTTAGCCATAACCTTAAGTTTTGTCATGTCCATACGGGGAGCAAAGTTTGAGTTTTCACACACCGAGTTACGTAATCTAAATGGCACCGCGACCGTAAGAGACATCTCCTCCATCGAAATCCTTATCTTGGCAGTACAAAAGGTTACCGTCCAACCCCTCAAAAATCACACAACCTGTCATTGTTCAACAAAACTATGAGCTTCTTCTGATATAAAGAACAACGATGGAACGTGAATGGTGGATTTTAGGAGACCATTTCCCATGCCTCAATCAAACTAAAAGGTGTCCAAAAAAAGGATGCAAGTTCAGGTGTTGCAAACTGTTTGCGAGTAAAAACGTCATTGAAAGGAAATAGGTTAGTCAGATCTGGTCCACTACAAGTGGATCCAAACTTCCTATTTGTGGAAATTATTAACCAAAAACTGTAACTTTAGATTTTGGTTATGCTTTTTTCTTCTTCTTCTCTGGAGTCTTCTTTATCTACCTTCATCAACTAAATTTAAGACAGAAAGAACCAAAGAAAACAACTTAACATCCACAGTTCACGTAAATCAAATATATATATATATATATATATAAAGACAACCACAATTACGTCAAATTGAAAACCAAACCTTTTATCCTCAAAACACAAAAAGAAAAAGACTTGGATAGAGGGAAAAAAGAAAGGTTCATGAGAAAGAACTCAAAGAAAGGCGATCTCTCCCAAGAATCACAGGAAAACCATACAAAAGATAGTACTTTTTCCTTTCATATATAAATTAAAGAGTTCCATGGATCTAAGGAAACTTTCTCATCCTCTTGTAATTTTGGCTCTCCCCATCAGCCACCACCCAGTCCCTCCTCTCTCTCTCTCAAATAATTGGCTATAAATTATAAATTTAAAAAATGAATATAAATTTAGAAACTTTAACTAAAATGGAAAGAATGACAACTACCTAATTTTGTCAACCGTAGTAAAGTCTTCTACTTCCCCCTCTCTTTATAGTTGTTCCAAGCAAGGACCATTTAACATCTGGGAGATGAGACATGGGAAAGGAAACAAATCAAATGAGTAGGAAATTTAAAGATGCAGACTTCGAAAGAAAAAAAAATAAAGATATGGACTTTGCTTACCATTAAAATGAAATTAAAGGTTATGTAGTAGGCAGCTCAAGTGGTCGTTTAGGATTCAAAAGACTGCTTTTTTCTGCACCAAAAGAAAAACTTTTTTATATTATTTTATATTTGATTCATACTTACAACAATAATATCCTGGGTGTTTAGAGAGTTGAAGGAACAAAAGAAAAGGCGCTGGAGGAGAAAAAGTGGGGAGAAAACTTCATGTAAAATGAAATACATAGATAAAATGAAAAGGACAGAGAGGAAAAAATGAAGGGAAGAGATGACAAATTACGAATCTTGAAAAGCATACTAAAGCATCTCCACCATCCCGTGGCTCATGCTCTCTTTCTTTTGTCCTAATATATATATATATATATATATATATATATATTATTATTCATTCTCCAATCATACAAGTTCCTTTTTTTCTAAATTATATCTTTCTATGGTAAATTATTTGGTATCTCGGGTTTTTTACGACAACAACAACAAAACCCTTATTCCCATATGCAATGGGGTAAGGGGGAGGTAGGGTAGTAGGCTGATCCCAACGCCAGGTTGAGAGCAGCTTCCGTGGAAGACCTCCGGCAGTTAGAAAATTAAAAATAAAGATAAGATGCAAATACGTATATAAATAAATAAATAATTCCCTACAATAATCACTAGGATTATTGGTGGTTTATCTTGTTTATGACTTTATCTTGTTTATGACTTCAGTAATTATCTTATCAGTTATCATCCAAAAGCAATGGAAAAAATTAAACAGAAAAAGAAAGACTTACTGTTTTTTCGTTCCTCGATTTGTATATGATTAGTTTTAAGTTTGGTGAATGAGTATGATAGTAAGTCAAAATCAACCAAATTTTTTACCTGCCTCGATTGAAAAGTATAATCCCACCAATCTGGCAATCTCTCAAACGATTACAGCATGTCTTTCATGTGGCAAATCTCACCTAAACAATTGATTTATACGTCAAGTGTATAGTTAATCTATTGGCTAAAGCTTGACCTTTAAGCCACAGTAAGTATTTGGTTGCATTTTAGGTAAAGGCCAGCTTTAACCTCCTGTTTATCACTAAAAAAAATCTACAAATTTCGTTTTTTAGTTTCCTTGTTAGGACGACAACTACTACTACCACCACCTTTTTAAGTCAGTGGGAAATGGACACTTTCTTTAAGGCACGAAACCTCTTGCTTTTCCATGGATTCAAAAGTGAAATAATCTAAGCTAATATCATTTCCTCTGAGCAAACCACATGTGTCAATCCTCAAGGACCGGTCAGAGCATCCTAAATTCTCAGTTGCAGGCAAAGAAAATAATCTTTTAGTCTCATGTTGTCACCTAACAGAAAAATAAGAATGTCAGAATCTTGCCAGATTTTAATGTTCAGGTTGGTTGATCATACAATATTCAATCACAGATGGTTTCAAATGCCTCTCAATAGACTAACAATTCATTCAAAGTAGTATATTTTTACATGTTATAATCATATTTGTATATCATATAAATTTTAACATGTTAATAATTAGTGTTTCATACAGTAATCATTTTCGGTCAATGGATGCATCATGATATAGACATGCTGTCAACCCAACTAACACTAGGAAAAATGGAATAGAGAATTGTGGTAATGGTCCACTGCAGCAATTTTCAAGTGGTGTTTTCCCTGAGGGAGTAGCACTTAATAATTGCATCAATGGCCAAAGAAAGAAAAGGGAAGAACTGCTTAAAACTGGTCAATGATATATCATTTCCAGAAGTGGACAAACTTGAAAAAAAATCGTAGGGAGTGCTTCAGTGGACAATTTTACTGAGATGAAAGTTTATCAGCAAAATGTATTTCCTCAAAGCTAATCTCTAGTTTTTGCTAATCACACAACAAAAGGGGAATCATTGCTCTCAAAATGGTTTAATAGAGTTTCTCAGGAGTTTGCTATCACTTAAAAATTTTGACCAGAAACTGCCACTAGAGAAGGCAAATTTAACCAAAGCCAACCTGGGCAGCCAGTGCCAGTGCATCAAGTTTCTGAACCCTCATCTAAATTCTAATACATAGCGCCTTTTTGGCTGAAAAAAGGGGTCCTTGCTTATTCTACCAGTCAACCAAGAACTGGGTTTTAAAATTTCTCTTTACATACTTCTGTACACTTAACAAAGTGGTTCCATATTTCAATGTAAGAGGTTGTCCCTTTAGTTACTTTATGGCATCATGGGATCACCTGCTGATGCAAGCATTTGCATCTCTGTTTCCTCGGCTGATCGCATAGTAGAATAACCTACCCCTGAATCACCTGCAGATGTTCACTTATACGAGTTTTATAGTGAAGGACAAATCATAACATTACCATAATGGTAGAAAGTTGAAATGAAAAGAAGAATAAGACAGAGAGAGAGAGAGAGATACATCAAGGAGAAAGATTCATTACCATATATAGAGTCATGGGATTGTTGTTCCATCGATGGATTCTTGAAATCTAAACAAGTAAAATAGTTTAGTGAAGTGATATCAAATCTCTTCACTAGTTAAAAGAAAAACTGGATACTGGAAGGTCAGAAAATTAAATATTATATTTCCAAAGCACTGGTACATTTTGCATCTATTTTATATGCTTGCTTATAGAGAGATTACACAAAATATCAACATATGAGTAACTTTCTTCCCTTACAAGTTCCGTGAATTGAATGATGTCGACAAATCTATCATTTTAAGGTGATCTTATTTGGAGAGTGGTTTTCAAGTCTTTGGGACAACTTTATCTTGCAGGTCTAGAGGCCAACATAGTTCAATAACCAGTTATTTCACTCAGGTTCTGCTGGAAATTTACACCATTTTGCCAATGTTTATGAACTAGAGACAGATAATATGAGGTGCGGATTAAGCACATCGAAATGATCTTTTGTAGTAGCACCATGTTTGCATGTTACCATGATGAACATTCATTGATTGGTCCTTCATCCTAGCTCCTTTCTCATTGTCATCCACTGGTCTAAATCTAACTCCTCTTCTATACAAATTATAAATCCGTGTTTTTTCTGTTGTTCTGTAAACAGATTCAAATGAGTTGCAACTTGACTACCTAAAACTATTGGCATACCAACCTGCCAGAAGAAAAGGTGAAGTTGCAAAGAAATCGAGGCTAATACTTTCCCGGTGCAAAAAAGTTCCAGATCACCTGGGTCTAGTAGTAGAACCCCCTATCAACGTGTCCGCCTACTATTAGACGCTTGCAGTGCTTGGTCACGTGATGATATCCCATTAATGGGTCACTTCTGTGTTGTTTCAATCTAATACTTTCCCCAGATTTGGGTTTATGAAGATTGCTTAGACTACACTTTAATCCACGTTGAAGCTTTTAATGAATTAAAGTGTCAACATACAATTACAGAGCAATATCTTGAGAACTAATGCTGGTTTTAGTTATGAAGTTTATGTCATATAAACTGATCTTTACTCACTAAGAAAACGATTACTGATACTATTTGGTGATTATAAAATTTATAATCCCTTGCGTCCTTTCACGTAGGGATTACGTCTGTCCACTTGAAACAACATATCTAAAGGACAACAATCAAACAATCAGGACTTGAACGAAACCTAAACCACATTCAGACCATTTGATTTAAGCCTAAAGGTTGGGGTTTCAATTTTGGGCTCCTTATAACTTTTTAAAGTTTGAACAAGACAGAGCCCACTTACATTTCTTTCGCCTAGGCCTGTAAACGAACCGAACGCACACGAACGGAGGTATGTTCATGTTCGTTCATTTAATAAATAAACGAACATAAACGAATACGAACATAAACGAACAATTTTTTTTTTCATGTTCGTTTATTAAGGAATATAACTTGTTCATGTTCGTTCATTTAATAAACGAACACGAACATAAATGAACATAAACGAACATAAAACGTTGGAGACCCTACCTTCCATTGTTCTTTCATGAAAAATAGTCGACAATGCAAATCAACCAAATCTACAGTGATAAATAGCGTAAGAGCTTATTAGCAGTGATGAAATGTTTGAAGATATCAAATATTTCGATCGATCTTTTAAAGATATTAAATTATTCACACGACTTTAATTTAACGCTATAACATTTATCTTAGTGGTCCATGATTACATATGAACAATCATTTTCCACTACGTTATTCTAATAAATTCGTCGGCTAAAAGTTTTGTGACATCAATGTCAGACTTTAGTGAGGTTTGTTAATAATGGTCATTTCCGTTGACAGAGTAGAAAATTTAACAGCATGAAGATTTCGAACGGTACAAATTGGACTACAAGGCAATAACATATATCTGAAATCCCTTCGATGCTACATATCATAACTGATATTATTGCTAAACCACCATTCAAAATTTTAACGTACCTAAAGTCTACTCCACAACTAAAGGTCACACAAGAACTATGAAAATAAAAGTTCATTGTCCAAGTGTATTGTCTACTTATTAATGGGTTCTTCTTGGAAAACCCATTACTTTCGTTATTACACTCTTTTTCAGAAATTGCATAGAAACCTTTGTTCTGTTTTCTGCAAATTCTATATATTTTTCTTTTTACTGATATTCATATTCTTCCGATTGTTACCTTTATCTTCCCATCTATTTCTAGAAAGAAGTATGATATTTTCTTGAGTTTTAGATGTGAAGATACCCGCAATAACTTTACATATAAACTATTAAGTCATATAAAACAAATAAAGAGATGAAAACAGACCTGTAAAAATTCAGATTGCACTATAATATAACTTGTTTTGAAGTTTTCGGCGATCGTCTCCACTCTCTAGTGAACACTAGGGTTTGAGAAAAAAATGGAAAATGAATATAGGTACGAGGTGCCTCACGGGTTAACATATTGGATTTAATCTCCAAATAAAATTAGGTTAATTATGGAGTTGGTCATCAGAATATCAGATTAATTACTATTTTTAAGATACTTACAAATTGGTCACCAAAATTGATTTAAGAAGATTGGGTTAAACATAAATGAATGAACATAAACGAACATAACCGAACGAACATAAACAAACATAACCGAACGAATATAAACGAACATAATTGAACGTTCACGAACGTAAATGAACGAACGAGACCTATGTTTATGTTCGTTCATTTAATTAAACGAATACAAAATCTTGTTCATGTTCGTTCATTTAATAAATAAACACACTTAAACGAACTTCCCTCAGCACGGTTCATGAACGGTTCGCTGAACGTTCAGTTCATTTACAGGCCTTCGCCCTCAAACCCCCTCTCACTATCACCCAAACCGTCGATGGCAATAGCTTGATAAGCAAAGGGGATCCGTAAATGGAAAAATAACTAAAACGATCTCAACATAAATAATATCACATATAGATCCTAAACCTTAAATTCAAAACTGAATAATAAATATTGTAGACACTAAATCCTAAATCTTAAATTCATAATCGAATAATAAATCTCTTAACCGTTGAGGTTGTTCGGTTCGTGTTACGTCATGATATAAGCATTTTTTAGTTATTTTCATGGTTTTTATGAATTCGGATTGTCTGAATTTGACAACTGGAGGCATTTTTTAGCATAACTACCGGTATCCGATCTAGTGATCGACTAATACGGATCGGATATTACAGAGGTAATAATGACCCTCCTAAACCAATTTGCTCCATTCGTAACTGTTAAGATTCTAACATTTAATTTTACTTAGATCTAATAATTCATCCCGGTAGATCACCTAATTGTTGGTTAAATGCAACACATTTGGGCTTTTCTTAAAACAAATGCTTTACTTAAAAAATTTCATTATGAACGTGGGGTTGACTGCTAGCTAAAGCCGATATCTCACGTTTTCTGGCATCACGCACAACAAGAGTCGCAGACTGAGTGTGAAAAGAATCGTTTTTACCACTGCTTTGTTTGTTACAGAATGTTTTGACAAAGACAGAGATTAAGATGTTATGGTTGAAATTCGCCGTTTCATTCACATTTTTATTCAACAAATCCTGGAAATACGCACATATCATAATGTAAATGTTGAGCTAAAACTAAATGTTTCACTTGCAAGAGGGAAAGATATAGTAATAATTTTACACATCCCCTACAAACAAATTTACAATTAATCCCCACAACAGTGTTATCCTACATTGCAAAAAGATGAATCCTTAACCCTTCAAAAGAAGAAAGAATAGTGGTTACAGAAAAGCAGTCCCAGCAAGGCCATGATGTAAAAGATTATGAGCAATGGCATCTCTAGCTTTCATGGAACTCGCCGATTTCAAAGCAACTTCAGGGACCATTTCATCATCAACAAGCTCGAATTTCAAGACCGGGTCAATCCCTTCGTCCCTGATTTCGCATATATTATGCAAAACGCAGCAAGCTCCGAGTACGACAGGCAAATCCTGCAGCTTAACCTCTGTCCTTTTCTGCAAACAGCACCACCGCCCCTTCAATCTCCCAAACGCTTCCTTTGCCACCTTTTGAATATCCCCAATCTTTTCATTGAAAGCGTGTTGCGTCCACGTCAAATGTTGTTGCGTGTAAGGAACCATAACCCAATCCATTAAGGGATACCCTGAACCCCCAGCGATCCAAACTCCTTTCAGTAACCCCCCGTTTGCCCTTTGATAAAGAGCTGATTTTTCAAGCACTTGGTCGTCGTTCATCGAACCTGGCCACCCTATACAAACATCAGTGAAAACTCCCCTGGGATCGACGACGCCTTGTACGGTGATCGAGTACGAGGTTTTCTGGTTCCGCTCCGTGTGTCTCTTGTTGAAATACGCCGCCACGCTTATCTTGGGTGCTATGATCGGGATGTGCGTCGTGTACATTGATCCGACGACATTTGGTACCCCCGACATGTTCTCGAACTCTTCCTTTATTTCCCGTAATGAATCGTCGTCCGGCCAGTGTAAATACTTGGGCATCAAAACGCTGCGTATCGCAGAGCAGACTTCAAGGATCAACTTGTGACACGTTGAGATGCCCAAACCGAACCGTTTCGAGACGAGCCGTAACGGTTCGCCCGTTGCTAACCGCCAAATGCAAACCGCCACTCTCTGCTTAACGGGGATGGCGGTCCGTAGCGTCGTGTCTTCTTTGGCGATAACGGAGTTGAGCTCTTCGCAGACGAGATCGAACGTTGACTTGCTCATCCTAAACGCCTTCTTGAACTCTTCTTCCGGGTAATCGGGTCGGTTGCACTCGTCCCACCAAGCCTTGGATCTGTCTTTCACCCATAATCGCCTCTGCTGACCCGTCCCGGATTGGTTGCTTTGTTGGTTGGGTGATTGGTTCTCCGTTTGGCTAACGGCGGCGGCGACGGATGCCGCCATGGCCCGGGACTTTTTCCGCTTCACACGGTCGTTCTCGTCGATTTCGGAGTAGTAATCTTGGATATTGGCATAAAATTCGAGCATGGTCCGAGTTTTTCTCTTGTGATTGGACTCCAAAATCGATTTCTCTTCGTTGGATGCCTCATTTTGCTCTTCGTGATCTCGCTTTTCTTGCTCTTCAAGCAACAGCAGCGAAGTGATGATACCATTCAAATCTTTCTTCTTGGGTTCGTGGCCGGTGGAACAGCTATCTGCATCGTCGGGAAATGTATCCTTCCGGCGCCGCTTGTAATTGTCACCGTTATTCATTTCAAGCAAAAAGTGAAGAAAAAAGAAAACAAAATTAAAAAAGCGTTCTTTCGGGATAGCAGAGCTGAGCGTTTTATATATGAAAGGAAAACGAAATTAAGAGCAAAATTAAAGAGGCCAAATTTGAATATTAATTAATAAAAATATGGTTTTTATTTTATGTTTTCCTCCTCTTTTTTCCGTTGGGGAGAAAGGTGTGAAAAGATTGGAGTAAGTGTGAACGCAAAGAGATTCAATTATTTAATTTCAAATTGCGTGTACGTGATTTTTTTTAATAATTTAATATAAAAAGTAGTCAAATACGATACAGGTGTTAAATACAATAATGTTATAGAAAACAAATAATAAAAAATAAATGCTTCGGCTGTTAAAAAAGAGAATATTTTTTTAATATTTATCTTTGATGGAATAATAGTAATTATAAATATATTTGTCAGTAAAACTACAAAATAAACTTTAATACATGCTTATAATTATTAATAATTACCATTTCAATTTCATAATTTTAGACTAAAAATAAATATTAAGTCAAACCTTTGACTTTTTTTAGATAGGAAGGTGGCAGGCGGTCGGTGTGGGGCGGTGGAAATGAAATTACGTGGATTTTCCAATTTTCTTTTCTGTTTGTCTAGTATGGTAATTTCCGCGGACTAAAGTACTCCAATATCGTCATAGAAATAACTAAATATAAAAATAATATTTGTTAATAATTGAAAATGTATATCAAAAACTAAAAAAAGTAATCTATTTAAAATTTTATATTATACTACGAATCAATCTCACTGGTTAAAAGAATAATTGTTGTTCTTAGAAATCACGAGTTCAAACATCAGCCAGCTGCAACAGGGTGATTAAACGTTCATTATCAATTACAACAACAACAACAAAACACAATTTCCATATGCAATGGAGTAAGGGAGAGGTAGGGTAGTAGACTGCCCCCAACGCCAGGTTGAGAGTAGCTTCCGTGGAAGACCTCCGGCAGTCAAAACGTTCATTATTAATTGATTAAGAATATTTAGAACATATACTACTTTGTAGTCACCTTATATATATATATATATATGTGTGTGAGAGAGAGATACATATTGAAGATTAGTGTAAATAAAGAATATAAGTAGGGGAGTTCAAACTTCGATTAATATATTATTAACTAAAATTATTTATATTATTTATATATTACATATTATTTATATATTACAGTGTTTAAACTTCAGTTTCAAATGAATTAAAACGGTTAAATTAATCAAAAATATAAAATATTTAATATATTATAATTATTTATAAGTTTTGGTTAATTCAATTAACCAACCGAATAACTAAACTTTGGTCGGTGATTATTTATTTTTGAAAAATTTAATTCGATTAATGATTAAAAGAAAAAAAATCTATTAATACAATTTTAAAAGTTCGATCTGATCGATTAATCGAATCGATCGATTAAACATCCCCAAATATAAGTCGTGCGGTGACGAGTATATGCAAATCTTGTCTTCATTCACTTAGCGAACATGTGGCTATGTTTGAACATTTAAAAGAAATTAATGTTTAATACAATATTACATTAATTAAATATTGTTTTTTTTTCAAGTTTTTACATATAAATTTTAAATATAAATTTATTAAATGATTGAAGACAAACTTTATATACGTGTTGTTGTTTGATTTATGTTTGTGCTAACATATGCCTTTATTGTGGATTATGCATATTTATTTTTAGGATAAAATTCGTATATTTTTCCTAAACACATTTTTCTATTCATTTTAATCCTTCACAATTAAAATTTTATTTAAAATAACTTTAAGTTAGTAAAGACATACTTGATCAATGGTACATTTCACGTCGTCTAATACAATACATATCATTTGTAATTTTTTAAAAGTATAATCAACTGAATAAATCTTAATCATATCTGAAACTAAAAGTATTATTTTTTCTCAATTAAAAATAGATATTATTTTAATATTTAATTATTGGTTATAGTACACAAATGTTTCCTAGTCAGACTATAGGTGTTATTTTAATAAGCTCCTCAATTTTTAAAAGTTAAAAAATAGTCATCCAACTATATATTGTTGTTTTGTTGAGTCATTCGACTATTAAAAGTTACAAAACAGTCGCTCGACTATTTATTATGTTCTAAACTTGTCTTTTACTGTTAAAAAATGACGAGTCTAAACTGCACGTTAACATGATGAATGGGATATGATATTCGTTTGAGATTCTGAGATCAGATTTTATCATATCACAGTCAGCAGATTAACGTTAAACTTGGAATACCATTAATTTTTTAACAGAAAAGGGTGAGTTTTTAACATAACGAATAGTCGAGGGACTCAATAAAACAACATTCTATAGTTAAAGAATTATTTTATAACTTGTAATAATCGGATGACTTAATAAAATAATATTATATAGACATGGACCATCGATACACTTTATCCTTAATTTTTTTTGACGATATTTGGACACTTTAAATTCATATTTTCAACTTGAGCTAACATGATTTTTTTAAGAAAAAATAACCTCAGTGATCGAAAATGTCTTATAATATATTTTAACCAATTTTTTTTTTGATTTGCCAAAATGACCAACAAAAACGCAACACGATCTCGAATTCGCAACGCAAACTCCAATTTCGTAACTTAGTTTCCAAAAGCGCAGCTTGAATAGTTAAATCGCAACGTGAATAGTACAATTGCAACGTGAATAATAAAATCACGACGCGAATTTAGAAAATCGCAAAATCACATTATGAATTTCAAATGGTAACTCTCTGCTTCTAGACTGGATTTTAAGTGGAAAATAAAACTTATCTACATGTGTATAAGAATCAACTTTTTCTTAATATAATCCAAAATTTAATTTTTTAAATGTATTTCATTAGTCTGAGTTAAGGATTCTTTCAAACTTCAAACTTTAATTAAATAATTTGTAATGAAGATTGACAAATGAAATAGATTTGTTGTTCATTTACATATAATTTTTTCACGTGTACGAATATTTTTTATAAAAATTATTTATGTATTTTCCCAACAAATTATTATATATGGATGATAAGAGATAATTTACATATAGATTCGTTGTGATTTTATTATTTACGTTGCGATTTTACTATTCAAGTTGCGATTTTTACTATTCACGTTGCGATTTTTACTATTCACGTTGCGATTTTACTATTCACGTTGCGATTTTACTATTCACGTTGTGAATTTGACTATCGCGTTACGAATTTGACTTTTGTGTTGCAAATTTGACTATTGCGTTGCGAATTTGACTTCTGTGTTGCGATTTACAAATTCACATTCAAATTTAGAAAATCGCAATGCGATTTATATATTCGAGTTGCGAAAATAGAAACTGGGTTGCGAAATTAGAGTTCGCGTTATGAATTTGTTGGTCATTTTTGTAAATAAAAAAAATTGGTTAAAATCGTATATTATAAAATATTTTCGATCTTATTTTTTCTTTTTTTAAAAGGAAAATATGAATAAAATTAATAATTTCCGGAAAGGTATGGAAATGGTTTTGAAATGTGAGGTCCACAAATCGGTGGCTTGAGTCTTGAGTCTGAGTCTTGAGTCATGGCGTCGGCAATGATCATCTTCACTATTTAAATATCATGCTATATTAAACTAATGCTTGGCCTGCTTGATGACTTTCACACTGACATTGACCATTCATAGTGATATAATTAACTATTTCATAATCATTCGACAATATTTATCCGAAACACGGTGTTAACACGATATGGATTTCAAAATCTCAAAAATTAAGCCTATGGGAGCTTAATTGCTTGATCACCGTTGCGCTGAATGTTACGTCCATTTTAACTTCAAAAAAGAATGTTACTTCATTTTGTCAACAACAGGGCTCAAGTGGGTACCCAAAGGTAACATTTTCAACATTTTCTGCTGCTTTTTTTTTCCTGCACAAAATTTAATGTTAGGAGGATGACTTTTTAAAATTCTAAAAATAAGACGAATTAGCGTGAAAACGATTTTTAAAAAAATCTAAAATATATAATAATTTTAAAATTTTAGGAGTACTGCCCCATCCGCCCACCTTCAGTCCATCCTTGTCTCCTTTGCAGTTGGATGATCCATGGAACTTTAACCTATTAAACTGGTTTATTTTTGTGATTGTGTTAACGACTAATAATTGAGTGATCGATTCGTTTCGGAACAATAATGTTAGTTATTATTTTGTTAATTTTGAAACTTCAATGTTGTAAACAAAAAATAATCATACTTTAGTGACCATTTATTTAGTTTATCCTTATTATTATGGGTACATTACAAATTTCATCACTAAATTTTACTCTTTCTCTTATTTTATTCACTGAACTTTAAAAGTTTTCAATTTTCTTGTTGAACTAAACACATTAGATTTTTTTTCATTCCGTCGTTAAACAGTTAACAGTGTTAAAACGATGTCATTTTAAAAAAATAGAATTTTCATCAAAACGACGTCATTTTGCATCTATATAAAAATTCATTTATAACGTTGTTAGCGAGGAAACGATTGAATGACAAAAAAACTCGATTTATCAAATTCAGTAAAAAATTTGAAAAGATTTAAAGTATAGTGAGTGAAATAGGGGGAGAGTAAAGTTTAATTATCAAATTTGTAATTTACCCTATTATTGTAGTTGCAGTTTTACAATACAGTTTTGGAAGGAACGGGCCAGGTTGAATTGCCTAGAACACGGCAATGGTGGAAATAGATTCTCACAAGTTAATTACCTGACGAAATATTGCATTACATTACACCCCGAAACACCAGGAGGGGGAAAGACCCTGAACAAGGCTTCTTCTCCCTCGCACATTCCCATTTTATTTCGTTAAAAGAGAAGTTAAATAGCCGGAGGTGGAGGACGCTTTGGCCTGGTGGTTGTGACGGTCGTGCCAACTTAATATTTTTTATTCGTTTCCCGATATGGCTCCTCTTTTCTCTTATGACGACAACGTACTGGGCCACACCACGGCGATTGCCATCGACAAAGATAAAAACAGCCCGTTTGCTGTACGTTGGGCCATCGATCACCTTGTCATCACCAATCCATTCATCATCTTGATCCATGTTGAGCATAAAAACC